AAAAATGTTTTCATTTTAAACTTAAATGGGACAAAACAAAACTAAGTAAATAAATGTTCTGCTTAGTACATTGTCGAGTTGTGACACAAACAGGAACTATTATGTCTGTCATAGTTTTTCTACAATGCGAGTTTCCTGTCAGTTGTGTACGATCTTGAACTGTTACACCTAACTCAGACAAATTCATGTTAAACATTGTTGTGGTTACATATTGACATCAAATACAGGTCAAGATCATGTGTCACTATCCTTCATGACACAGCAATGCTTATAAACCAATTTTTTTTATGCATCAGCTAACATCTCTTTTTAGTAAACACTATATATTTACCTAACCTATAAATATCCATGAATTTCAACAAGTTTAAAAATGAGGAAGACTTTAAATCATATACACTCACCTGATCTACTTTCTTTTTGTAGACGGGTCAAGTGTTAGTAAGTTGTATTTTTTTTTTTTTATCAATCACCATCAAAACATATTTAAATTTTATTTCAACAAGGTATACTATAATACAATGGGCAAAGCAGGCAACATTTCTGACTGAAATAAAATAAAAGAATGCTTTACTGTACCTTTCTTTTTAGCGGCTTCTATCATGGCTTCATATTGTAACCGGTGTCTCTCAGCCTCCTCTGGATCTTTTGTGGGTAAGTTTCTAGGAAACAAACAGGGATACTTCATTAAAGATTTAATTTTATTTACTTGGTACTTCACTGAATGACATAAATACAAATTTAACAGGTCAGTTTCTTTGAGTGCATCCCAAATTTAAACAATTTATCCCCCTCCCCCTTTTGTTTAGACAGAAACACATCATCTTAATTGGCAAAATCTTAAATTAGATTGATTAATTAATACATGTAATGTCTAATAACATTCATTTGGGGGAAAAAATGATCTAGCTTTTATGTATATTGTTGTCAGGCAAACCCCTGCTGCAAGTAACTATATCACGCTATATAGATCTATATCCATGTATCCCAACAGAATCAATCATTTCCCTTCCATGACCTATACAGGCAGTCCATGTTTGCTTGTTTATTTAATTAATTATAATGGACCAGTATCTTTTGTACTTACTGTGGTCTGTTCTCCAGAATGAGCGCTGTGGTCGACATGACTTCTACGTCAGACTTCTTGGTCCGGTTGGGGTTCTGAAGAGCATTTCGTTGTTGATATTCATTGGAGATCTGTTGAGGAGGTTTGACCACACCCTGCTTTGGTGGGACCCGCCCAAAAAGCTTCCAGCCTTGGTCCTCCTCTTCCTCCTTAGACTTGCGTGAAAATAATCCCCTGTCAAAAGCACGTATTTCTTTAGTATTTTCATACATGCTTCACATACAATGACATTTTACATACAGGTAGTTATTTAAAGTAAAAGCTTCCTCTAGACGTAAATGTACTGGTTTGCACATTCTTGTCATTCAGTGAGAAACTTATAATATCCTTTTATATAATTTCCTGTTTTAACAGTTTATTATTAAATTTATTATGAACTTTAACTCCGACATTTTTTAACGATAAGGATATATATAGATAATATATATATTACCTTGATAAAAATCCTGAGATGCCTCTTCTCTTTGGTTTGGCTCCTTGTTCTTCAATCCCACTATCTGATGAGTTATTTTTGCAGCGATCAAATGAATTCCTTGAATGGAGATTAACCTCAATGAAATTCCCGTCACCTGTGTCTAAACACATGCCCGTCCCATCACTTGCATCATCGCCTACTGACACTGCGGAAACTGAGAAATCAGTACAGGTGCTCAAGCTAGACAAACTGGAAGCATCGTTAAACGTCCTCAATAAAGAATCTCCGGTCTGGACTCTGTGGAAAGATCCCTCCAGGTCAAAACTGTTACAGGTGAGCTGATCTGGATCTTTAAGTCTTAACAGGGAATCTGTTTCTCCAATACTCGAGGTGTCCTGTAAATTCACCAGTTTCCATTTGTCACAGATGCTGGTACTGTCCTCTTCACTTCCTGTCTCTGTAACATTGTTCACATCTAAATTTGTCTCACTTTTTGAATCGATGCTATCTTTAGATGTTTCCGTAACAAGTTGGCGAGTGTTTGGCAAATAAACAAGTGGTGTGGAGATCTTTTCCAACACTGAACTAAGACGGTTATCATCTTCTTGACCAACAGTTATGGGTAAATCTTGAGTGAGGGAAATCGGCGATATAAGAAGTCCAGATTTCAGCTCCTTTGCATCTGCTCTCTTAACATTGGAAAAGTTTGAATCACTTTGTGATTTGGCTATACCATTTTGCTTGAGATTCTGTTCATTTGCATCACAGTCTAGCTTGGTAATATCTGATTCTGAAACTCCATTTTCACTTTTTGACCTTTTAAAATCTGAATGAACATCACTCTCTCCTGAGTTAGATAAATGTGAACACATTCCTTGATCAGTGAAATTTGTTGAACAAAACTCATGTTCAGAACCACTTTCAGGAGAAGATGGAATATCAGAAAAGCATGGCTTTTTTGAATCCTCATCAAAATTGCACTTTCGAACCCTGGATTTTAAAACAGAAATATCCGACTCATGGTTACCCTCCAGCAAACTCCCACTCGATGTTATGATGGAGGTAGGCGGTAAACTATCACACATATCTAATCTCATTGTGGTACATTTTTCTTTTTAATTAACGTCCTTTCCATTTTGTGGACGAATAGTACGATAATTTGTTTTGGTTTTGAGTATCAAAGTCCGCAGCCATTTGACATCTTTAACAAACTGTCAAAAATAAATGAGGACACATTCTTTAGTCGCATACCTGATAATCAAAATCATACTGCATCGCAATTTGTCAACACTTAAGTTAATACTTATGTAAAAGATAACAAATTCCAAACTCACCTTGGTATCTAAAAATACTCATGTTTGTTTATATTCCTTTATCGACGTTTCTCCCTTCCGCCATCTTGCTAAAATTGTATGCTAATGAGGGGGCGTATCTGGAGATTGTAAAATTCAGACACGGAATGGCGTATTTCCGGATTTCATTTAGAAAGAACATTATTTTTTGATGAATGTGGAGAATTTGGAAGGGTGCAGAATAAAGGAAAAATAAATAAAACAAATAAAAACAGGATTGTGTTTGTGAAACACTCTTGACACAGTATGGCATGTAGCTTATGACCAGAGGTCAATCTTCCAGGTCAAGGTCATAAGATCAGTAATGTTGATGCTAGAAAACAGGTCTTGGGATAACAAAAGCACATCTAGTATGAAAGCCTAACACTAATCATTAAACATTTTAGGTTAGTCTTCTTTTACTGACAAAGACTGACAATTACTGAGGTAAAATACCTCTTTCCCTTGTCATTAATTTGCCACTGTGACAGTTAATAACTGTCTTATTTTGACAAAATACATGTTACTTATTTACATGTTCTTTTCTAGAGCTGAAATGCCACTATGTATGTTCATGTACTTCCTTTGTAACTTCCTGGTCCTTTCCCGCATTGGCATAAATTCAAAGAAATATCATTTGATCTATTGCACTTATGATCGGTTAGACACTCACTTGCTTTGGTAGTACATGAACCTTCCTCAATAACATTTAATATCTGGATATGGATCTGCTTTCATAAAGGTCATGTTTCCAATGTAAAACTCATTCTTCTTTTTAAACTTTGTAAGACATAAAAGTAAAACAAATTCACTCAATGGTAGTCATATTCATCATTGACCTATACAGCGTACGTACAATATAAACATGTAATTTCTGAACATGGGGTCAAATTTTGTTGGGTTGAGAAAAAATACTGGTTTGTAATTGCATGGTTGAAGAAGTTAAACCTTAAATTTGTCTTGAAGTTTGACATTTAAAATTTCCTTGAAAATATAAATTAATGGGTCTATTGTGGTTTCAAAGTACATTAATATTAAGGTCACCAAACTAGCTTCTCTCATGCACTGTTCTGTCCTGGTACTAGACAGGTAAACCACAAAAGCTGGGATGATGTGGTTCAAGTTATAGCTGATTAAAAATATGTAGGACTCCAAAGCGCAATGGGACTCCAATGTCTGATGTTCACGCCAAAGTCCGAGAGTCTGCGCCAAACCCCGATGGTTTGACACGCCAAAGTCCGATGGTGCTGAAAACAAATTAACGTTTATGACGTCATAGTACTAATTAATGCGCCAAACTACAATGCCGCACCATGCCAAGGTTTTAAATAAGTATTTATAATTAACATGTCAAAACTAACCATTATCTCTCAGATAGGTGCGAAACAACCCTAATCGCCAGAAAAGTGTGTACGCTTAACAACTATATAGCTATCTAGATATCTTGGGTGGGTGCGATACTAACCCTAATAACTCGACTAGTGTGCGAGGACTAACCCTAAATCAAAGCAATTAAAAGGACTAACCCTAAACAGTTGAGAGGTGTGCGAGGACTTATGCTTTTATCTCCGAAACATTAAGCAATGCTCAAAATAAATAAAAACGTATGCAAGGATAAATTCGGAAATGATGACATTTGAATGCAAGAAAACGGCGTCAAGGATTGACGTCGAATTATTGTGACCTCTCAAACGTCGATTGTTTCTCCCCACCATCAGGCTTTGGCGTGTCAGACCATCGCACTTTAGCGCAGTGCATCTCATAGGAAAATGAGCCATCGGACTTTGGCGTGACCATCGGACTCTGGCGTCCGTACCAACAGCGAGCCATCGGGGTTTGGCGAGACCATCGGACTTGGGCGTCGCCATCAGACCTTGGAGTCTTACAAATATATGTACCAAATCAGACATTTTTCAAGACTGTACGATACATCAGACTCACAGGCTGTACAATACATCAGACTCGCTTATGATTACAAATTAATTCTCAAATTTTTGTTGTGATTTTGTATGAAACTGAAGCTTACTATCATAATTTTAGTCATCTTCAATTTATGTTCTTTTTTCGCTACAGTGTTAATTTCAAACTCAAATCAATAATAATGAACAATATTTAATGTAAATCAACAAGCAATCATAACAATAGGATTACATTCAACTTTCCTAAACAATTCAATTATCATCAATATTGAACACAAATGGATTTGCTGCATCTGTCTTTTGATTGGCTGTTTTGACTTGTTGGGACCGCCCCCTGGATCTTGTAGTCCTTGGCTCCTCCACCTGCGTGTTGTAAAACATTTTATTATCGGCCTGGTGCTGAGCTTGTGTAGCTTCTTCCAAACACTGAGGGTGGGCAATCTCGTCAAATCCTTGTGGTAGTGGCTCAAGACACACAATACAGGACTGTCCAGGCCTACATATTAAAATTAAAATTAGTAAACCAATGTATTTATTATATAATAGGCTGGCTATCAATAAAATCATTGTTTAAAACTTTCAGCCTAAAACACTGATTATTTAAGACAGAGATTATTATGTAAATGAGATTCTGTAAAAGTTTGATTCAGAAGTTAATGAAAAATTTTGTTGACAAAATGGGTACACCCTTTGCTAAGTAGAATGGCAAAAATCAATACTTGCAAATGGGGAAGGGGTTGGTTAAATAACAAGAGGCCCACGGGCCTTATAGGTCACCTGAGCATTCTGCAACAACTTTCCAGTTATTGAATTTGATTCATGTTTTAAGCCAGATGCTACATGGCATTCACAATTTTGAAAGAAGCACCATTGATCATCATAACAATACACTTAGCAGTTGCTTAGCTTGGTTTATTGATTTGAAAATGTCCAATAATAAGTTCATAGGATCTTCATGAACGTTTCATGAACATTTCATGAATAAAATTCATGAAAAATTCAAGGAAATTCATGAATTATTCATGATCACCTCGCAGGGGTACTGAATACCCATACACAAGGTAGGGAAACAAAAAAGCATTCCAACTAATCAGTAATATTCAGCAATAATCAGTAGTGCCCCTAACACTGTGAAATAAACCCCTGACCCTAGGTCCACACATTGCACAAATTTTAACAAGAGGCCCAGGGGCCACATCGCTCACCTGAGCAATTGGCTAGGAAAAACACAGATCAGAACTGAAAGTAAACTGGGGGGGGGGGGGGGGGGGGGGCACTTGAATTTTACACCCCCCAGGGGGTCATGGAACAAACTTGAATCTACACTATGAGGATGATTCCCTATAAATATAACGAAGCCTGGCTTTGAAGTACTTGAAAAGAAGATTTTAAAAGGTTTCCCTATCATCTTCGCTAGCCAAGGGTTTCTGATACGCTACTCTCCTCATAAACCCTTGGCATACGGTGAAGTCAAAAGACGGGATTGTTTTCCGTCATGTGATCTCGAATCTATCAGGTACGCACAGATTGCGTCATCGCCAGAAATAAAGACACGTGTTAAAAAAAAATTAAATCGAAGTTTTTTCAAGAATAATTAAGAAGCAATAATTGAGTTATGTTTATTTATTATTTATAGAACAAATCTGAAGCTTCATTAAAAATTCATAATCACATATTTAGAAGATATTGGATGACACCATGGCTATTCATAGAATTGAATGTTATCTTACGGATCATTGTTTACTTGCGTTTTTCATTTCCGAGGTTAAAGAGTGAAGATGTATCCCGAACGCAAATATCGTCATTTACAAAAAACAATTGCTGAACCTGGGTGTACTGAAATCCAATCAGAACTCTGGAAAAAAATCCCTATTTCTATTAACACCGTAGGCCAAGGGTTTATGAGGAGAGTAGCGTATCAGAAACCCTTGGCTAGCGAAGATGTTTCCCTATATGTTCCTATGTAAAACTTTGATCCGCCATTTTGGCCCCACCCTACCCCTGGGGGTCATGATTTGAACAAACTTGAATCTACACTACCTGAGGATGATCCCACATGAGTTTCATCTTTCCTGGCCCAGTGGTACTTGAGAAGATTTTCAAAGATTTTTCCTATATATTCCTATGTAAAACTTTGATCGGCCATTTTGGCCCCACCCTACCCCCGGGGGTCATGATTTGAACAAACTTGAATCTACACTACCTGAAAATGATCCCAAATGAGTTTCATCTTTCCTGGCCCAGTGGTTATTGAGAAGATTTTTAAAGATTTTTCCTATATATTCCTACGTAAAACTTTATCGGCCATTTTGGCCCCACCCTACCCCCGGGGGTCATGATTTGAACAAACTTGAATCTACACTACCTGAGGATGATTCCACATGAGTTTCATCTTTCCTGGCCCAGTGGTTCTTGAGAAGAAAATTTTTTAAAATTGCCATTAATTTTTCTCTAATTCATAATTATCTCCCCTTGGAAAAGGGCCTGGCCCTTCATTTGAACAAACTTGAATTCCCTTCACCCAAGGATACTTTGTACCAAGTTTGGTAGAAATTGGCCAAGTTGTTCTTGAGAAGAAGATGAAAATGTGAAAAGTTTACGACGACAACAACGACGACAGACAACGGACAAATTTTGATCAGAAAAGCTCACTTGAGCCTTCGGCTCAGGTGAGCTAAAAAGGCACTCTTAAAATTGCCTATCAAAAAATAAATAAATGTTTTATAAATACAAAGGAGCAGATTTCAAACAATTAATTTATTTTCAGTATATAATAAGTAGAGCCGCCCCCCCCAATCCCTGGGGCCTTGAAATTCACAATTCTGCAAGATTAGGGCCCTTGCTCATCATAACTATAAAGGTAGTTCATCTGCTTCATACCCAGAGACAGAGAAGAAAATTTTCAAAAATTTAATGTATTTTCACTATATAATCAATAGAGCCCCCTCCTCCCCCCCCCCCCCCCCCCCAACACCAGAACCCCTGACCGTGGGACCATAAAATTCACAATTTGGGTAAAAGCACTCTTGCTCATCATAACTATGCACTTAGTTAGTTTATTTAATACCTAGGAGCATAGAAGAAGATTTTCAAAGAATTCGTCTATTTTCACTATATAATCAATAGAGCCAACACCAGAACTCTTGACCCTGGGGCCATAAAATTTACAATTTTGGTAGAGGCACTCATGCTTATCATAACTATGCACTTATTTAGTTTATTTAATACCCAGGGGCAGAGAAGAAGATTTTCAAAGAAATCATGTATTTTCACTGTATATAATCCATAGAGCCCTGCCCTAACACCATAACCCCTGACCCTGGGGCCATAAAATTCACAATTTTGGTAGAGGCACTCTTGCTCATCATAACTATCTACTTAGTTGGTTTATTTAATACCCAGGAGCAGAGAAGAAGATTTTCAAAGAAATAATGCATTTTCACTATATACTTATTTAGCCCTGCCCTAGCACTAGAACCCCTGACCCCAGGGCCATGAATTTCACAATTTTGGTAGAGGACTCAATACTGATTACAATCATGCAAACAGTTTGACTGCTTGATGTCCAGGAGTAAAGAAGAAGATTTTTAAAGATTGCATTAATTTTAGTGGTTTTGGCCCCACCCCTTAGGCCCCAGGGGGGCAGGGATCATGAAATTCACAATGTTTGTTCCCCTTCACCCATAGATGCTTTGTACCAAATTTGGTTGAAATTGGTTCAGTGGTTGCAGAGAAGAAGCTGAAAATGTTCAAAAGTTTACGAACGACGTACAACGTACGACGTACGACGACAGACGAAAACGGATAGCAATAGGTCACCTGAGTTTACTCAGGTGACCTAAAAATGTTATTTTAATATTAGGTCTTATGTAAAATATCAACCAAATTCCTTAGGATCAATTTTCATAGGTTGGTAAATGACATTCTATGCTGCTTAGGATGACTTACTGAACTTTTTCAAAAGGATTTCATTTTGCATTTTGGCATAAAAACTTACGTATTTCTGGATGGAGATGGATTCTCTGAAGAAAAAAAGAAAAGAAAAATTTTGTGTAAATATGTGTATACCATATTATGAAACATATTTCAAATATTACAGATTTTGTTGAAAATTTTATCTTCTGATAAAGAAACTGATGTTCCCCTAGATATGAGCATTCCAGGTAAGACCCTGCAGTTTTTAGAACACAGGTAAGAATGCTCAGACTATACACAGGTAGGAGGTACATGTACTTATAACCAACCTCCCTTTCTTTTCGATTGCATCTGTAAGTTTCATTGGTTATCATACTGAGAAAATTTTTGCTTATATGGGGTTTAAGAGATTTTTCTTTCTGTTAAAAGAATTTTAAATCTGGTAATAAGAAAAAATTTACTAGGAGTATGAAAGCATTGAAATATGGTGCAATATTTCTCTGATGCACAGGATTTATATATAATAATTCAGTTCTCATTCATCTACCCACGGTTTATTACTGGCAATACTCTGAATATAGGTACCTTGATTTTGCCCAGCCTTTGTGTCCATATTTTCATTGGCATCATCTGTAAGGGAAATAAAGAAAATAACTTTATAAATACGCATTTAAAGAAATAAATTTAGATACTATTAATAAATAAATTTATACACTTAATTTATGTCCTCCTATAAACTCACTTTGGGACATCCTTGTACACTCGCACTTGATTCTTCTCTCATCTTTAATTCCCATCATACCCTTTATCTCTATCTTATTAGACTCACCAATATCCTTTCTAGAACACTCATTGCCAAAATCTCTCTTACACCATTGATTTGATTTCCATGATAAATTCATACCTGATTTTTTTCCTCAAGCAAATCAATACAAACCTAAAACAAAATCTTGTCCTTTTCTTACACTTTCTGTTATATCCTCCCCCTCTCTCACTTGTTTTTAACACCACCCAACAACTATCATATTTCCTTGATGTCTCTAATTCAACCCTTGACATATCTCTTACACTCACTCTCGAAGTTGTCTTTACACTCACCATTGATTTCTCCCTCACACTCGGCGGCGTGAGTCTGTATGTGGTCGCAATGAAACTTCCTATAACACATGGGACAAGGCACCAGTTCTGTCACCTAGAACACAGAAACCAAAAAAAAAGTTTTCAAAACAAGAGATTTGTATGTGTGTGGTTTTAAGGCAAGAGTATACAATGAAAACTTAGGACAATATTGATTAGATACCTTAGGAGCAGGTTTTACTGAAGATTCATTGGCTCTGGTTCTCCTTGTATAAGCTTTTACAGTCGGTTTATTAATGGTCCAGTTTCTGGCAGACAGCCATTCCTCACCACTTTCTACACAAACATCTCTTTCCACCTTCTTGTCCTCATTGGACACTGGGCTGTCGGAGCTTTCGTCTGACTCTGCTATCTGGAACTTCCTTGTTTTCTTTGGTCCGAGTCTTCTCTTTATGTTGAGTTTTACCTCCCCTTCTTGGCTGCTGTTTTCCTTTTGCCTTGGTACCTTCTCCTTGGGTTGCTTAACAGAAAATATGACTTCCTCTTCTGAATCATCTGTGATGACTTCTTCAATTACATGATCCTCTTTCTCAACATCACGTTTTGTAGCAGCCATTTCTACACTCTCTTCATCATTCACAATGATCGAGTTAGTTTGATCACCAATGCCTCCAACATCAAAATAATTTTCTGTCATCTGGGTATTTGAGTTTTCCTCATTGAATTCAAACTTATTTGAATGCTTTTCCTCCATTGCACACATCTGCGTAGCATAAACATCTCCATCTGGTTTCAGCATTATTCCAGGTTTCCTGGTCAGATGTGAAGTTCCATACTTAATGGATTTATCCTTCTGAGATAACTCTCGAATGAACTCCTCTTCCATTCTAGAAGTTGAATCTGTACTTGCTGTACTAATGTCACTATGATGTCTTTTAAATCCGGTTTGTGACATATTTTCTGATATTGTAGACTGACTATTGTGGTCCTTATCATTCTTTTTACTTTCAGTTACTCTATTTCTAAGTGCTTGAACATCAAACTGTAATTGCTTTTCTGGTTTTCTGGTTTTTTGTGAAGCTTTTCCATTTTTCTTTGGTCCTTGCTTTTTGTCAAATTTCAGAAATGTTTCCTCTGCAATCAAGATATCAGGAGTGTGTCTGTCTTGAACACGTTTCTGTTCATGAATGGTTTCAGAATCATTTTCTCTGTCTTGTCCTAAAAAGTAGTCAGATAACTCCCGGTCCTCTTTCTGACCCTCAAGAGGAGGTAACTCTACCTGGCTACTTTGGTCCATCACTTCCATTAAATCATCATCATCATCATCCATAATATTCACTGTGTTTTTGACTGAATCCTTCTCTTTACTTACTTTCCTTCTTGTTTTGGTCAATTTCAGAGGTCTAATTTCTGTCTTAGCTGGTCCAGTTTTAATCCCCTTGTGGGGAACTGCATCATCATCCATTAAATCAATGGGGTTCTCATTCACAGAGAATTGACCATACACATGATCTTCAGTTGTAATATCTTCATCACCTTCAATGTAAGTTGTAATGGCCACCTCCTGCTGACCTCGTCTTTTCATGTCAATTGTTTTCTCCATATGTCGGCCAGGCTTGACTGGTTCCCCTTTCGCTAAATAATTGCATGATTTCGATTGGAGGAGGAAAAGTTTCCGATGATAAATTTCAAATGCTTGCAGGATCACTTTTGTATAGCTTTCAATATCTTTAACATCAGGTGCATATAAAGGAGTTCTAGTTTTGCTTCTTCCTTTCTGTAAAAACAAAGGCACTGGTTTTACTTTAGCCGCAAAATTTTGAAGTTATAACCTAGGCATCAATAAGCACTTTACTCCTCTCTTATAAAATGGACTTTTTTTAAAATTCAGAATTTTTAATTCCATTTTTTTTTAAAGATTTAACTCTGGTTCTACTCACCTTCAAAGACTTTGTTTTCCTGTGTTTTAAAAGAAACGGAATATACATGTACATGAAGATGCAGTAAAAATAAAATCAATCGCTAGATAGAGGTATTTATAATGAATGTATAGCTCAAAGACAGAAGGCATATATTAACTTATCTCTTAGATAGTATTTTTGGCCTGCATAAGACTAAACGTGTGTACATTACATGTAATCTTAAATAAAGTAAATTACCTGAAATTTTGATCAGTGGAGAGTGTCTTGCATGCATACTTATCAGCAAGGTCCTATTCAAACAAAGAAGAGGTATATTAAATCATCATTTCATTGAATTCTTTTTGTAAAACATTACATGTATAATGATACATGATTCAGATGCAATATCTAAACCCATTCACGACTTTGATATAAGTATGCCTAACTGAACTTCTGAAACGGAACTACAGGTATGTCTCACTTATCAATGTCTTGAGAAAGTGGGCTCTTATTATTAACAATGTTTGCTTAAGATTGTCTTAAGCTAAGAAGTGAGAATTTCACCTCACCTGTTTAAAAAACTCCAAATCTTTCTCAGTAGGAGATCTGTGTTCCTCCTGACTGTCCATCCCTTTCTCTGTACCAGAAGGCATCAGTTTAATTCTTTTCGAACTGACTGTATTCTGAGTCTATAAATAAATACATTCTTTTTTTTAAAAATATCATTTCTAAATACTTGCTAGTTGCATACTGGTGCCACTTAGTACACAATTACAAATGCTTTTAAAAGAAGAAAATTTATTTTTGCTATTTCTTATAAAGGTTGGTGTTGTGAATTAAAAATGTACACATATTACATTTGGCTGTGTATTCTATTTAGCATTTTTGGCAGAGAAAAACTTCTGCTAATTCAAGTACAATGTTAATTATCTTGCACATTTATAGAACATAAGAATATTTAGAAATGTGCTAAATCATATCTATGCTTACTTGTTCAAAAATTAATTTTGGCCCAATATTGTACACACAAAATATAATACATTTACAGTAATTAAATTCTCAGCTTCTCATTAAAAGGTAAAATGAACAGCTACAAGCTATATTTTTTTTTTATATGCAGTACACTTGTACTTACCTTTGGTTTTTCCTTCACAAAATGTTGTTCCTCTTCATCACTGCTCTCCACTATTGTTCTCTTCTGGGAATTCTTATTCACCTTTGGTACAAAGTCTTCATCACTTTGCTCCTCCTACAAGGCATCATAGTTCACTCAAATCTGTGTCTCAATCTCTTATAGGGTAAAATTTTACTTTCAATGCTTCTATTACTGATTATATATGATTTCAGAATAACCATTGTCAATGCTGAAAAATCAAAATGTGATTTATGAGTTTCTCTCCCTCTCTCCCTCTGTCAAACGATTAGCACTGAATGATGCTAGAAAACTTGAATGATACAATATACCTCAGTATGTCTAAGAATCATTATCAATAATCTTTACCTTCAGATATTGACCCTTTATTTATGCAAGCATCCTCAGACACTATGGGCGTCTCTTTTAAATTGTGTTATGAACAGAAAGCTAGTGTATTGAAAAAAATACTGAACTTTCTGTAGCACATAATGCTTGTTCATGTCAAAAATCATGTATATTAGATAGAATTGATAATTAACCTAAATCATGCTAAATCAGGTTTAAATTATAAAGAATATTTTGTTAAAGATTATTTATCATTAAGCCATATCTTACCTTTTCTGGAGAGTCTGGAATGATCACAGGGCTCTGAGTTGCCTCTCGTTTTTGGGTCAAGTTCCTGAAAACAGCTGCCTTAGCTTTTTTGCATGTCCTGACAACCTATAGAAGGAAACAATAGTCAATGAAAAGAATGTATAAGTAAAAAAGTTTTTATTGTACTTATTTCACACCAAAGTTTAAATAGCCATAAACAAATTTTAGTGGTTCATATCAAAAAAAAAGAAAAAAAGAATGGTCTTAATGTGCAGCTCAAATCAATTTTAAATACCCTGTCAAACATCCCTCCATTTTGATCTGGACTTTCAGGTGCTTTAGATGTTTTAGCAATGCACTCCTCAGTCTTTGGCTCTTTTTTAACAGTCTTGTCCTTGTTCACATCTGAAGCCTCTTCTAATTTTTCTTGTCCTGTGTATAATCTAAAACTCATTCTACCAGGTGGCTTTTTGCTTCCTGTATTTTCTGACTGTTGTTTGGAATCCTCGTCCATTGCCAGATTTCCATCCTGTAAGGCACCATCTGATTGCAGAAGGTCCTGGTTATCTTCGTTCAATGACATGGATTCTTGTGATGCACTTTTTGATTGGTGAGATGTAGGAGAAGCTACTCCTGATTGGCTGGATTGGCTCTGATCTGTTTGTGTGTCCATGTCATAAGGGTTCTCTATTACATCTTGTTTTGACAGCTCTATCGCTCTCTGCATTTAATTTCATTAAGTTCATCATAAATAAATTCATCTTCTATGTGCAAAACTTTGATAAATGAAGTGATTTTTTAAATATAATTCTTCAGTGCTTGAGCTCAACTTACCACAATTTCTGCTATTTCATCTTTTGACATTCCCTTTGTATCAATTCCACAATCTAAACAGAAAATAATTCTTTGTCAAATGCTGAGTTCTTTCTTAATGCACTATTACTGACAACATGTGCTTCAGCATACATATGAAAAGAAAGCTTGCCATATTATGCTTCAACAAAAATATACTATTATAGTAAAACTTGTTTAGTAGGAACACGGATATTGCGAATTCACGGATATAGCGAAGTTATTTTTGATCCCTAGCTACATAAATTTAATGAATTCCTTATACGGATATAACGAATTTTATTACATGATTGAATAATTTCCATCTCTCTGATTGGCTGAGATCAAACTATGTTAGAAAAATACTATGTTGTATTGACCTGCACGTGACATTCCAGGTCAATACAAGGATTTATTTCCTATACATTGAACTAAAAATAGATTGGGAAATTCCAAATTGATACAAATTGTTTTGGAAAGCTATTTAAATGACTATAATTTTTTTTTTTCATGTGAACAAAACATAAACGAATATATATTTTAGGGTGAGGGTGGTAAGAGGGAATGCAGGGACCCTCTCCAACACTTTTACTGAACAACATACTGTATACAGGGTTATTTTCGCCCCGTGTTATTTTCGCCCTTTGAACTTGTGAACAATTTTGCCCCATTTTAAATTCGCCCAATCTAAGTTCTGTTTAAGAAATTATGAGATGTAATTTGAATTCACCCCGTTTTAAATTCACCCATTGAAGGAGATCAACGACTTAAAATTTCCCTAAAGTGTGTTATACAGTATTTTTAAAAAGTTTTTGGCAGTCATTTTTTCCTGATAATACTTCTTCCTTTCGAAATCTATCCTATAAAAAAGACTGACATTATATATTTTTTCATGGCAACTAAAATTGAAAAAAAAAAAAAAAAACATTTCAAATTGATACGACTGGTAAGGGTTATTCAAATTTTAATTCTGCCTCTCTCTTGTATTTGGCTAGGACTTAATTAAATGCAAACAAGTAATGAGCTGTATTATTTTATCAGTGAATCATATAATAAAACAAATATTGCTGTTTTTTGAGGTCAATACAATGATTTAGCCATCTTCGAAGTATATTGTACTCCTCTGATGACTAAATCATTGTATTGACCTAAAAAAAACAGCAATAATTGTATAATGGATATAGCGAAGTAATTTCACTGGTCCCAGCGACTTCGTTATAACCGAGTTTTACTGTATGATTCTTTGCTCTAAAAAACATTTATCCTTGACACTGTTTACTCTAGTTCTCATTTGCTTTGTAATAGGAAAGGAGAAATGCATATTAAGAATACATGTGGCAAGACCAGGAATCAAACCTTTGACCCCTGTATTACTAGTAAGGAGCTCTAATCATTGAGCTATACAGGCTGATGCCCATGGTCCGTAAAGCCCAAACTTCTACATTCCTCCCACCTTAAACAGTATTCAACCTCAAAGACACAAGTTCTAGGGCCCTGCCAGGCATACATGTGAGATGTACCTGTGGTACACAAAATGTCACGTATTTTTGACTAGTGCTGGGTATCGCGGCTGAAAAATCGTATCGCGATATATTGCAATATTTCATTTTGTATTGCAATATATCACAACATAAAAATTTTAATAAATTTTGCTTTTCATCAATGTTAAATGAAAACACAAACTCAAATTACATGTATTCTCCAGTTGATATTGCAACTGCCTGATCGCGTTGTGTGTAAGCAAGTGGCAAGCAAGTTTTTTTGTGGCACAAGGCCATCCTTAAAAAAATGTTTGTTTGGAATTGCTGCCTGGGGGGTTTTCAGACCCAGGAGGAAGGGAGGGATATTTCTTTTTTTTTTTTACAAATTGAAGCTAAATGATTAAAAAATAAAAAATCTCAAGGAACAGTGGTGATATTCATTAATTTTCCTCTTCCTTTTATTTTATTTATATTTTTTTTGTCTTATTTAAAAAATATATTTACACAGAACGTTACTCATATATCTTTCCAATTCAGATATTATATCTGATCATTTATCAAAAGTCAATTTCAGCGTCAAACTTCTATTTTAATCTTTTTTAAATAATTTTGTCAGTCTATTTCATAGCATTTCTCTTGTTTAACATTACGATTCAGACTTGTCAGACTGACAGACGTTTTTCATTTCTTATCCTTGTAATTTTTGAACTGGGATCTGAGCAATAATTTTTAATTTGAACATCACGGACTTAGCCTCTCAAGTTCAATGTGCAATCTATTACAATAGCTCTTTCCAGGTATCGGTGTATCATTCCATTTGATTTTTATCCACCTTTTATTTTTATGGAGATGCATACATGTTCTGCTCTTCAACGCTTGAATGTTTTCACATCCACTAATCTAACCTGGTCTGACATTTTGGCGGCTTTTATTTTGTCAAATCGTCACCTATAATCGCTATATCATAAATACTATGAAGGAAGCGTTGTATTGTTATTTAAATTTATGTGATCTCAAACCCGACTTTAAAAAGCTATTTGACGAACGAACTAACTTGTAATAAACAATGTAAGACGATAAAACGGTAAAAAAAAAAATATTTGCAATATTATGCCAATAAAATTTTTTGAGTGGAGGGTATTTCAGTGAGGCGGGCGGCAATTCCAAACAAACTATAATTTTATTTTGGCCCAACTTAAAGAATAAAGTTGTAATACTCAACTCAGATTCTGCTTTAACATGAAGGGCTTTAATGTAATAGTTGTCTTCTTTTCGTTTCTGACAGACAATGAGACATGTCTCTGGTTTCCAATCAAACTTGACCTTGCTTGCCGCCATATTTTATCTTAAAAGGGCAAATAACTCGTTTTGTAACAATTTATAGCATATCGAACCCGAACCGGTATTCACAAAAAAATACCGCGATGCGTATTGTGAAGAACGAAATCGGGATACACCGGTTAACCGGTAATATCACACAGCACTATTTTTGACCCCATTCATGGCTCGCGGCAGTACAAAATGACTCACGGGAAATGAAAATTCATAGTAATGGCCTGGATAGCTCAGTCAATAGAGCAGCTGACTAGTGATGCTGGGGTCCTACGTTCAGTTCCTGGTCCAGCTCTACAATTTCTCCTTTCCTGTTACAAATTCAACACGGAACACTGATTTTACCTTTTAACACCTTTCGACGTTCCCTTTCCTCTGCTGACATTTTCGGAATTGTGTAATTCTTATTTAAGGCTGTATATGACAGGGGGTCTTCAGAATCATGCTGAATTCTACTCACAGTCTGTAAAACAAATAAACAAAGAAAATAAGCAATACAATATATAGACTCTTTAAGTATGAACAAGATTAACATGGATTAATCCTAGTTGTATACACCAACTTCTTTGAATATGTTTCATTGAAAACATTCAGAACTAGGAAGAAATTGAACATACTGCCGCTGGTTTTACTCTTCTTTCGTAATTTCTGGGTCTGCTTTCCATATCATACGTCTCTCCTTCGTCTGTTCCTCTGGCGTCTATGAATGTATTTATTGCCTGGAATTGAATGTGACAGTTAAAGATATTCTAAAATATACAGATCAATGGTGTCTGAAAATACCTTCAATGTCTTTAAATAAAACAACAGTATTTAACAACAAAACTCCCCCACATTTCTTCGAATTATCAATCATCAACTCGAATTTCCTCGACATATAATAGTAGTTTGATGGTTTCGCTATGTGCAAACACAATATTGCGCAATTTAAAAAGCGGTGAATTTTCAACTAATATTCTCACTTATCTATAAAGTTATCTCAATGTTAATTTCCTGTAAAATAGTAACATACCTCTAAAAAATCCTTGGCCTCTGTGGTTAAAAAATGGCGGGAGACATATAAAATAAAAAAATTGTAATTGACAGACTTCAGGGATCCGGATTTTTTTTTTAATAAGCTTCATCACACATATATTTTTTTTTATACAAGGTATCATACATATTTTAAAAATAATATGAAAACATAGACACTTCTGATAGAATTTAAAAAATCTCAATATTTCTTTTTTGTAGACCTGTATTTTTCTGAAATACCCATGCAGGTATTCTGAATCAGTAAAATTTGAAGATATGAAATTGATAATCTATAAATAGGATATGTGCAAATGTATAATTTATATATTCCATTAGTTTCTGATAACTTGTTGCCTTTCTATAAACTTTATATACTTTTAACCTTTTCTCTAGAACCAGAAGATATAGTAAATTCCACAAAGCATCCCTGGGTCAGGATGTTGATTGTCCATTACTCCTTCAAGTTTCATGGGAATATACCTAATAAGTAAATTGGTCCCAAGGTGTAGGATGGATCATAGAAGGGAATAAAATTTTAATTTCAGGTGGGAATATATATAGAAAATCAATTTTTAAAAAAATCAAATCAAGGTGCCCGGGGATAAGGTGGGACCAAAATACAGTATCAATCTTTTACATGGGAGTATGATTATTAAGAATATAATCTCTTAAAATATGCTAATAAGCAAGCATAAAAATATATGTATTGAAGCAAAAAATGCAGATGACATAACTGTAAACAAAATATAATGCAGACTTTCGTACTTCAATAGATAATATGCTTGATTGTTCTAATGACCTGTCCTTGGTCAAGCTTTAGGTGTTGGTCTCCAGTTTTTTTCTTTGTTATGTATTCTTTAGGGCATGATTAACCATATTTTACATGTATTTCTGAAAGACACTTCAATGTTCTATATAAAGATAACAAGAGACTGAACTCACATTTTGCATGTTTAATCCTCATCAAAACAAACAGAAGTACAGCTGTATTGGTACATTGTAACAGATGAACAGTTTTAAGATGAAATAGTCTGGTTGAAAAAAATTACTATATATGTGTTTTTAATTTTTTATGTATATAGATTATCTACTCAATAAATAAAAATTAAAAGATGACAATTATGTACAACTGGCAGGTTATCAAAACGTAACTGAAAGCAACAGCTTAACAAAATTGTTTATGCAGATGGAAGCTTAACATACAGTGTCAATCCTTAAAATTTGTTTTGTTTTGTTTTTCTTTTCAATATGACAGCAAACACACAAAAATTATGTTTTAGTTTATGAAATAATATTTCTTCACTGTGTTTCTTAAATTGTTGCTATTTTAATGGTTTGCTTAGTCTCTCTAAAAGCACTGCAGCATCCTTCATCAAAAGGCAGTAAAACATTGTTCACTTTATCACTTCTCCTTCCAGTTTTCGTTGCCTTAGAGATTTCAGTCTCTCGATCCACTGATCCATCTTAACATCAGGGTCCACAAACAGCTACAATACACACCAAAAATAGGCATTATACATATATCTACTCTAAAGAGGTATAAGGTTAGCAGGGAATTACTTCTACATTGCTGATTTTTTCCTAATTTTTTCATGATTACTATCTTTTTTGATATCTGAAGGCTTTCCATTCAATGTTTTTTTTTACTAATTTTAATTAAGATAAGTATTTTTTTTTTTACTTTTGATCCTACTAATGTAGACAATTTGGTATTTCTTACATTTTACAATTATATGAATCTGTGTGTATTTGGTTTTTTTTCTTACAATGACTGTACCATGTACTCACATTGGAATGAGCAAGCTTTGATAAGTCATCCACCTCAAGTATTTTTTTCACTGCCATGTCAGGTTTGAACTCAGCAGCTGTACCAAATGAAAAACTCTCTTCTTTTGAACTTGTCTTATCTTTGTCCTGAAAAACAAAATTTCAAAAGGTTAAAAAAAAATAATTTCATACCAATTCACAAAAAATAAGATTTTACATGTACTTCAGAATGAAAACAAATTTAAATACTGAAATTGACCTAAACTTTCCTTGCAATAAAAAAAAAATGCTTCCAGATTCATAATAAATGATGAAAATCTTGCATTATTTTTAAACCTTCATATTGAAATATGAACATGTCAAAAAATACCTTGTAGTCTCAATATTTCAGATCTTATTCACATAATTATCACATAAAAATGAATAATAGAATCAGGGACCTATATACTATTGGGATAGGCAACTACCGCAAGTCTTGTGATATCTCGTAAGTCGCAGGATTTCGTAAGTCAACTTTAATTATATCTCATAAGCTATCGCATATTTGAGATCAAATCCTTTAATTATCTGTCAATAAAATCATTCAAGATTTGTTTTTAGCACGTATTATACTCCTTATCTTAGTAGTAATTTTGTTTTATGCAAAAACAGCCCATGCCCTGATCGGCCATGTTTCCGAGAAATCGCTGATTTCGGTGTTTGTTTTCTTTATATTTAAATTATACTATTATTATGCTTTAAATATCATTAATAAATCAATTCCAATACATAAAAGGAATAAATGATATAAATCAGAAAACACCCTGATTACTGGGAATAAATGTAGTTTGAAAAACTTGTAGTGTTGTGCGTGATGTTTTGGGTAAATAAACATGGCCATATAGGAGTTGCTTATCCCGTTAGTATATATATCCCTGATAGAATAAAAAGAAAAAAGATCAAAATAAACTTACTGTTCTGTTGGAGGAGAATGTAGACTGGACAAAAGAAGAACTCTCGATTTCCTTGACAGCATTAGAAAACTGTAGCTGCTCTTTGATTGATTTACTTTCCTTTGTACTTGTGGTCTGCTCCTTGATTTTCTCATCGGCTGCAGCTGATAATTAGGTGAGAAAAAAAATAAGTTGGTCATTTTAAAAATATCTGATTATGGTACTGAAAACATTGAAATTCCAAATGATATTTTTTTGCAAATGTGAAATTAATACAACAAACAATTTTATCTCTCCAATATACTGTATATTTACTAAGAAAAACGGGCTGAATACTTTGCTGGCTTTGGCACTGACAACAATGTGCTATTTAATGAATACCCCTAAAAGTCATTTTTAATTACAATACATGGCTATGGTGCAGAAGTGAGTATAGTGCTAAAATAACTCTATACCTAGTGAATGCACTTAATTTTGAATACGCCCATGTATGTACACGTACATACAGTATTATTAACAATTTCCTGGATTATATCATACTGTTCATTTCATTTAAAAATCAATGAAAAGAAAACCAAGTTTTAAAAAAAATTGAAAATTCATGTAAATTTGTCACTTAGTAGATGACTTTACCTGCAGCTTTAAGAGCCATTTGCATCCTGATCTGTGCCTGCTCAGAAGGTGTCTAAAAAAGAAGTATTTTATGATCATTCTGGAAGACTGGATTTGTATTAAAATCATGAAAAATTGTGCACACAAGAATCAAAAATCAAATCAAAATAAACTTAATGACCTTTTTGCACTGAAATCTATGTCTTAATAAAAAAAATTACATCTTCAACGTTTTTCATCCAATATTTTTTTATCCAAATAAAGCATGGAACAAAATAAGCTATAATTTTATATTTAAAAAAAGACACTTTAAAATTGTGACTAAGAAAAAGTTTCAAATTGCTACGCATAATCAATTATTTGACCTTTCTGCACTCACAAAATGTGATTTTTCTGGCATTAAAATTTTTTATAAGGAAGAAAATTATTTTAAAGTCTTAAACTTTTGCTGAATTTTAGCAGATAGGTCAAAGTTATCTGAAATATTAAGAAAAGAACATTAAAAGTGGGGATATGTGATGTAAATATTTAGGTATTACGAAAAAATTGTCAATTTTGAATTTTTCTGTTAAAATTGGCTAAATTTTTTCCTGGACTTTCAGAATATATTTCTATACTATATGCCATTAGAAATAATTTAACAGATATTTCAGAACACGCATAACACATTACACTGCAAAAAACAGCTTTGTGTGCAACCAGCATGGAAAAATAGGAATCTAAAATTAACAGTATTTCAAAAGGGATAAATTGATAATTTTTTTGTGCCACAAAATACAGTCCCTGGCTTAACCCTTCTTGAATAGAATTTGATTGCGGTTTTTGCAATGGATATAATTTAATTTGCATTGTAGAATCTAAATTCAACGTTAAAACTTAAAAACGATGCAGAATTTAGAAATAAAGGTCCAGACCAAAATCGACTCAAAAGCGCAGGATCGAACGTCCTTAAATCATGAAAAATTGTAAAGAATCAAACTTAATTTCCTTTAGAATTGTGAAATTAATAATCATTCTTTATTTAAAGTAGAAAAACCTTACCATGTCTGCAAATCCTGGAAAATTTGCACAGGGATCACTACAGTGAAAGGAAAATTCATTTATAAATACAGTTTGTCCGTTAACATAATCGACAGTTTATTAAGGTACCTGTAAATATTTCAACTTCAAAATATCAGACATTCATGATCACATCTGAATTTCATGAATACTCTGGAATCATTGTCAGTAGTGGACCAATGTCCATGGATTTTGTGGGTCACTTTCATCTATGAATTTACATCTCCACGATCAATTCTTTTGTCAATTTATTTATTCATTGAGTCCTCTGAATAGACGAATTACCCATGAAATTATGTCCCATCAAAAACAAAAAAATTTTGTTTAACTTACAAACATTGACCCCAATAAATTAAAATATTTTTTTTTGATAATTTCATCATAAAAATACAGGTATTCACTTTTTATTTCTTTCTTCAAGTGAGTCATATGTACTTATTTAGAGTTTCTGTAACCAATAATTATAACAAACTTTAGTTCATGCTTACTCAGTAGATTTATTCCTTGGACTTCTATCTCTGTGCCTGTCTCTTGATCTAGACCTAGAGAATCAAAATTAACAATTATTAATGCATTATTCATCATTCAGGTTTGAAAAAAAATTTGGTTGAAAATATGAATATATTATGAACCTTTTTGATCGATATCTGTCTCGACTTGACGACCTTGACCTGGAATATCTTGCACGGCGTCTGCTGCGACTGGATGATCTGGATCTTCTGTCCCGACTTCTAGACCTTCGCCTGGAATACCGATCTCTGCTGCGTGACCTTGACCTGTACCTAGAATCTCTATCAAAGCTGCGTGATCTTCTTCTACTCCTAGAACGAGATCGCCTGTGTCGTGACCTCTCTGGGGAAGATGATGGGGACCTTCTACGATGTTTGGACTTTTTTGATTTTTTATGCTTGGACGATGATACTCTGCTGTCACTGCTACTTACAGATCTGAACATAAATTAAATAAATTAAATCTGACTAAGCTTAGACTTTTTCATTTGGTACCGTGATTATTGCATAGAGGATCTGATTGTTGAACTTTATAAGCACAAATCTATCTATATCTCTCATTAAAATGACTTGATCCACTTCACATCTGATTACTAGTTAGTTATAAGACTTACAAAATATTATATTTTTAAATATTTACATTTGCAAATGTTTTCCTTTATATAACACTACTGAAAGCAATGCGTATCTATAACCGTATCAATACAGGTTCCTCGAACATCATAAACGTTCGCCGTAATTTCTCAGTGACGTCTAAAAGGGTTGACGCACATTCAATGGATTACATATATGCCGTTGAGTTTGGAAAACAAAACATTTCACGCATTAAAAATCATAATCAGGCAAATATAAAATATGAATACGGTAAGTCACAAATGTAAATATAAGTAATAAGGTCTCATTTTAATTTAAAACATCTATCAGGCTATAAATACGGGTAGGTACGAGATCAAATTCATCATAAAGCCCTTCGGGCTTTATGGAATTCAGGCTTTATGGAATTTGTTCTCATGACCAACCCGTATTTCTATCCCGATCGATGTTCAAAAATGATACCTTATTTCTTATTTCTTAATTAATAACAAGCAACACATGGTTTATAAAACTCATGATTAATAAACATCATTGAACACTAATGTTCTTTGATTATCACTGAATTGTATACTGCTTTATCCATACAAACCTAGATCGTGAATGTTTCTTTTTCTTCTTTTTTCGTTTCTTCCTATCGTCGTCACTATCGTATCGGGCCATTATGCTGTAATTAATTCATTGTTACTTTTGAATTTCCTCTGTTGCGTTATATTGATAAGTCTATATCCCTGTCATCTATTAAGACAAGGACATTTAGTCGATATTTTGTGATGCACCATTTCTTTTAGAACTTATTCAAATAAAAAAAATCTTTCTATTCAGACTAAGTACCTTTTTAAAAATATTACCTGTTTTCTTGCTTTTTGGTGTGTTTTCCATTGTCGGATGGCAGGTATTTGATAAGTTGTACAAGGTAAATTCGTACAGATAAATTTTGTTGTTGATATAGGCCTAATCAATTATAATTTTAAAAAAGAATTCAAAATGCACACGCATGCACTTGGGTTATGGTTTATAAAGTATATTTTATATACCTACTAATATGTAAGTAAATTTACACTATTTACTTCCTAGTATGTGTATATTCATAAACCAATAGCCAAGTACCTGTGAATCATTACATAAAATTGTATTCATTTAGGCCGAGACAAATAGACCTCTCACTAGTTGTATTGTTTTAATAAAGCTAAGATCTACAGAATTTATTGTTTAAAAAAATGTGGATTGTTTCTGATCAAATACAGCACTACTGAAAAATGCTAAAATTACATGTTTGCAATGCACATGTTATTTCCACATGAGCAAGACTTGCAAACTTTTCATGAAATACTTGTAGATGAAATATATGGAGATATCATATTATTCAAGCTCAAAAGCTTACTCAAACAATTCAATTCAAATCAAGAGCAGAGCAAACACGGAGCTCTAAAACATCAGATGTGGGATCAGGTGCCATGGAGGAGTGAGCATCCCCTGCTGAACAGTCACATTCCTATGTGTACATACTCCTTGTCATGATCACCCCCATTTCAAATCAAATACCCATTATTATTGACCACAGTTCAATCGAACCTTCTTCTTGTATGATCAAAATGCGATAATTCTAATATCATTTTCAATTAAAATATCAATTTTCTACTCAAACAGCAAACTGGAGAGAAAAAACAAGTACAAAATTACATTTTATAACCTTTTTATTTTAATCAAATCAGCAATTCTGTAAATAGAACATTTCACTTCTAAACAGAAAATGCAGTAAAAAACAAGTTACCTTCATATTTTAAAGTACAGATCAGTTGCTTGTTCAAATTCTAATTCTTTGATCAGAATGGACATTTTCCCAAATGACAAATTTTCTGGAGTTTGTAATTGCAAATATATCAGTGCTGGTAGCAAAAGGTGCTTTGAATGTGTTACATTTTACCACAAGTTACTCATATACATGTACTCAGTCTAGCAAAAATATTTCAGAAATAGCATAATGAAACATCAACTTGAATTGTACGTGTATAACTGAGACAACTTTCCTTATGAAAACACATTTTTCAATTCACTGTAAAATATACTTATACATGAATTGTACTTAACTTTACAAAACACTTCTAATGTTAGTAAATTAAAAATACAAACAAACTTAAAATGATGAATTTTTTCCAAATATTCAACATAACCTGTCAGACTTTAGCAACATACATACATCAATTTCTGTTCATGAAAAAATATTATCGATTAGAATAAAGCACTATCTTCTCTCCCCCCCCCCCCTTTTTTTTTTTGCAATAACAAAATACATGTACAGATGACATTAGTCAATCATCAAACATAGGTTTTATCTATAAATTCACATAAAAGCATGTAACTACAGATTGTTTCAATTGCACAAGATTAATACAAATCATCTAAAGCAAAGTAAGCATGAACACAAGTATCTCAATGCTCACCAAGTCATAATGACAAAAGGTGCATTTGTAAGGATTCATAATACAAATAACAACTTCTTGGATTAAAAATATAATAAAATCTATAGTCATATTTACAGTTGAAAAGTAAACACTGTACATAATATATTTTCTTCACAACAAATGAGACACAGACAAAATAAGGTGAAAAAATAATTATTAGATGTTTCATCTAACTCACTCTTTTTTGTTCTGCACCAAATAATGTATGAAGTCTATGAACATAAATACCAAAATATGATTACAGTTCAAATCAAGCATTGACAGTTTGTAACATGATGAACTTATACTTGGCATGAAAACAAACTAAAGTTTGCATGAACACTGTGTTAAGACTATTTACAGAAATGAATGATTCAAGGATGAAAATGTCTTGTAAATGATACAAAGTCAAAAAGGCATATTTTAATTCACAGAAAAAAATATGTGAAAAGAAAATTCAAACACATACATGTTTTTTTTTTTTTACCTCAAAAACAAATGATTTAATACATGTATTTACAACTTTCAGCTTTTTCGAGGCATTAAAGCTCCTTCTGATGATGATTATTTACAAATGAGTTGATATTTTTTACAGACGTTTGATACATGTACTTCACTACATTGTCAAACACTTCAACTCAAACGTGTATTGCCACATGTCTTGTCTTTATCAATCACTCTCGAAGATTATGCACCATGCACAGAATGTGTCTTACTCAGTTCACAACCTTTTAGTTTTTCACTGTGATCCAGGTGTATCAGGGGAATAACGTGAACTGGTAGGAGAGTATTGAGGGGATGTTGGTGTGTAGGTAGGGCTAGTTGGGGTGTACTGAGGGCTGGTGGGGGAGTATGAGGGGCTGGCTGGGGAATGCCTGGGGCTGGTGGGGGAGTATGTGGGAGATGTGGGAGAATACTTTGGACTGGGGCTGTATCTTGGAGAACTTGGACTGTACTCATTGATACTGTAGTTGGGAGAGGAGGGGGAATATGTTGGGGAGTTGGGGGTGTATTTTGGACTGCTGGGGGAATAGGAAGGACTTGAGGGGGAATATTTTGGAGATGATGGGGAGTACTGCGGGGAGCTGGGGGAATAGGAAGGGCTGGTCGGGGAGTAGGAAGGACTTGTAGGACTGTACTTAGGGCTGCTGGGAGAGTAGCTTGGGCTTGTAGGGCTGTAACTAGGACTTGTTGGTGAATAACTTGGAGAACTTGGGCTGTAAGAAGGACTTGAAGGGCTGTAAGATGGACTGGTGGGAGAGTAGCTTGGAGAAGTTGGGGAGTAACTTGGGCTGGTAGGAGAGTAACTGGGGGAGGTGGGAGAATAACTTGGTGAAGTCGGACTGTAACTTGGGGATGTTGGAGAATATGAGGGGCTTGTTGGGGAGTAGGAGGGGGATGTTGGGGAATAGGATGGACTGGTTGGTGAATATGAAGGGCTTGTAGGACTGTATGAAGGACTGGTTGGAGAATATGATGGACTCGTTGGAGAATAAGATGGACTTGTTGGACTGTAGGAAGGTGAAGTCGGACTGTAACTTGGACTTGTTGGAGAGTAAGATGGGCTCGTCGGACTGTAACTTGGTGATGTTGGGCTGTAGCTTGGACTTGTTGGTGAATAAGATGGACTAGTAGGGCTGTAGTTTGGAGAAGTCGGAGAGTATCCTGGACTTGTTGGCGAGTACGATGGACTTGTTGGTGAATATCCAGGACTCTGTGGTGTAGCAGCCGGAGAGGAGGGCACGTAGGAGGGCGAGGCAGGAGAGTAGCTGGGAGACATAGCTCCTCCTGGGCTAGGTATGTATGGACTGGCTGGTCCTGGTGAACCTGGTTGAGGGGACCAGGCAGGGCTGTAGCCAGGACTGTACCCACTCTCACTGGCAGCAGAGGGTGAGAATCCTGCTGCTCCTGGGGTCATGCCACTGCCCACTCCAGGTGACCAAGCACTGGCATAGGCTGGAGTAGCTCCTTGCTGCCAAGGTGTCATCTGAGGTGACATTCCTGCTGTTGGGCTTGCACCAGCTCCAAAGAACAAACCAGTGCTTACTGTAAATCAAAAGCAAAGGGTTAAAATAAGAACAGAAACTCTTTTAATAAAACATCTTAATATTTCTGTTGGTATCTGAAGGGTTTCATTTAAAATGTTTTTAACAAAAAATTATGAATAATTTGAATGCAGATTGTCAAAAACGGCCGCATTGATCCATTGAAAAGGGAAATAACCCAATTTTCTATTTATCCTGAAAATCGAGTTAGCTAAGATAGACGTTTTTATTAGAAAAAAAATATCTTTCTTCTAAATCTACAGTATTTTATAAGTTAACTTTTAAATTAATGTTTGGAATATCATTATTTAAAGTTGAATACATGTTATAACTAATTTCAGAGAACAAAACTTAAGAATTAGTAGATATTATCATTTTATTGAACAAATGACTATAAAAAAAAGTGTAGACTAAATCCTGCTTCAAAAAAAAAAAAAAAAAAGCCTGCCTGCCGCATTGAATTTTAATTTTTTTGGCCTGAGAAACAATTGATTAATTTTTTTTGGCCTTAATATACCGTATAACTGGACTCCAGGTGTCTTAATCGCAAAAAATTCAATTGCGTAAATAAAACGGAATTTTGTTGCGATCAGGATACTGGAAGTATATGTAAATAATGCCATTGCACGTTTTCAATCCTATTCTACAGGTAATTTACTTGATATCAACAATGATTGTTTTTCGAAAAAATAAAACGAATTCCTAAAGATTCAATATTTATTTGTTCCTACATTGTATTTCATGATTTATTTATATGAAACCCGAATTTGGCTATTCCGCGGCTTGATCGGGTCCTTCACCATGTTTACCAGATTTTTCTTAATCGGTATTCTGTTGAGAAAAGAATTTCTTGATTATATACACTCTTTATAATCATAAATGAAATTTCAGCTGGGAACTTACAAACGAACTTCTATAAATTAATTTCAAAGAAATCGTCTCGGTTTCAATTCAAAGTAATTGTGACTTTGTTTCTAATTTACCCTGTGAATAATAACCAATTAATTATAACAACACAAGGACGACCAACAGGTGTAGTGTCATCTATGTAAACACCCAATCAACAGCCCAAGGCCTTCCTTACAAGCGCAATCAAAACTTTGAGAGATAACATTCTGACACCGAGAGACAGGAGTAAATTTGCTTAGTTATATAGAGGAAAGGTTCATCGAAGCGTTCAAGCCATCGAGAGTCACTGCTTTGGTTTGTTCAATAAAAAATAAAAATAGATGATAAAAAAAAGACTTTATTGTCAAAGTGAAATCGCAAAAATTAAAATCGCAAAAAATAAATATACCTATTTTAGGAAAAGCATTAAAAACCAGTTATACGGTAAATAAATAAATATAATATATACTATATATTAAAAGACTAAGACTTACTTCCACCTGGCATTCCAGCTCCAATGTTGGTTGGAATCTCCATACCATACTTGCACTTCTCAGCATCAAGCAACAAATCAAAGCTTCCTGTTCCAATTCTAGCCAACTGACCCAGCATAATACACTCAGATACACCCTTCATTGGATCCATTTCTCCATGAGAGGCAGCCTCCATAAGAATGTCCACCTAAGGAAGAATAAGCCAAAATTTGAATCTTTTTAACTTCAAACATTTTTTTTACTTTTCATCATTTAGTAAAAATCATTATAATGAAATGTAAAAAGTGATTACAGAGTATTTTTTGAAGTATTTAGTAAAAATCATTATAATGAAATGTACATGTATTTTAAAGGGCAATGTATCAAACTTACCGTCTCTTCAAAGGAGCAACGAGCCAATGCCCCAGTTTCTTGTCTGTTGATTCCATGTCTTGTGATGGCCATCAGATGACCTTTAGCTGTCATGGAGTCACACAACAGAGACAAATGTCTATAATTGACGTAGGAACCGTCAAAGGAAATGACGTGGTTCATCTCCTTCTCAATGGACTTTCTCACAGCCTCTATCCCAAGGATCTACAAAAAATATTTTAAAATTCCAAAAATTGAATGATAATTTGTATATTTAATGTAATTTTATCTAGTTTTCATTACAAGTTGAAATTGTATTCATATTTATTATTTAACCATTCAATTGACTAAGCATTTTGCATGTTTACATACCGAGAAGACTTCCACAATGTCGTTGGTTGTGGATCTGATCGGGTCAACATCTCTCTGACTGAGGACCTTCATCAGAGCTGTACCATCAGTTTCCAGGATCCACTCCGCCACTGCCTTAAACTCACCCTCCTCTGTTATAAAGATTCTCTTCTTGTCCTCTGTGTTTGGCAAATGCATGTACACCTAGTCAGACAAAAATGAATTATATAACTGTAAACACTGTTGCAATGTAAATTCAAGATCAAACATTTTGTTCCTCAATATGCACATGTACTTAATTTAAATGACAATACCTTGGCAATTGCCTCAATTCCTTGCAATGTCATGTCTGACAAAAGATTGGCCTCAATACAACGCAGGAAAACGTCATCTTCCATTTTGTCTACAATTTCCTCCTCCTGAAAAATTATCCAAAGAATGTTTATTAAAAGTGGACATATTTTTATTCTTTTGAAAGACAATTTTAAAAAACCAGATTTAATACCAGGAATGCTATGTTGTACATTTTATACTTACATTATTCATTTTGCTCTCATCTGAGTTCATAATCCTGATACGAAGGACAAGTTTTTCAGCATTGTCATCATTGAAGATACAGTTCAGATCATCACCAAACCCTTAAAAAACAACAATAAAGCAACTCAAATCATCATGAAAAATTGTTTACAAGATTTTTCCATTCCAGTGAGGTCAGTTATAAACTCTCCACTTCCCTAGATCAGTGTATGAACTTACCAGCAGTAATCTTTTCTGAGATCTGTTCCATTGTAAGCTTTTTGTCTGTCATTCTCTTTCTGTCCAGCTCAATTCTCAGCAGCCAGGCAGATATTTTAGACACATCAAAGTCAGGCATTTCATAGTAGACATTGACCCACTCCTGGTCTTCAGAGATCACTGTGTTCTGAGGGTCAGGGTCATAGTAGATGGCAGTGTTAGCCGTCACCTTACGCAGAGTAGTGTGTTCCAGTCTGCACAACACATCCTACAAAGCAAAGATTTCATATAAACTTTAATATTTTTTTTTCTTCAGATTAACTTTCTTCCTGTCCAGATGGTTTCATGGCTAGTTATTTTCCTCCTTCTTTGTCTTTTCTTACCTTAGCTTTCTCTGCATCCCTTGCAGCCTGGCCAATCAGATATACAGTCAGTGATGGTGTCTTTGGTTTCTTGGAGATGTTAATGATCTCCTTCAGACGGGGCACACCAAGGGTTACGTTCTTGGCTGACACACCAGCGTAGTGGAAAGTGTTCAGTGTCATCTGAGTGGCAGGTTCTCCCAGAGACTGGGCAGCAAGGGCACCTACCATTTCACCAGGATGGACCTAAAATAATTTTTTTGTCAATTTTTTATTCTTTCAGGATCCTCTGCACAGAATACACATTTTGCAGATAATGATATTTACATGACCTATTCACTATTCTTATACATGTATTTAAAAACAAAATCTTCATTTACCTGTGCCTGCTGGAACTTGGATTCGATTTCTCCAATGAGCCATTCAAAGGCCTCAGAACTTAACCTGAACTCCTCTGTCACACGTTTTGCACACAGTGTAGATCTGATCAGACACTTGATCAGCAGAGTAGCGTTGGCATTAGCCTGGATACTAAGTCTGTCCTCTCCTACCACCACAACCAGACGCTTACACAGCTCCTCAATTCCTATAAAAATGTACGTTATAAGACTTTTATTTACGATAAAGAAGATTGTCTTTATTTGAGAAATGAACACAGTATAGTTCAGATTGGAACACCCACCTTCTACAACTTTGATGGGATGAAGATCAGTTGGTTTGTGAACGTCAATACGGAAGATTTTCTGAGCGTTCCAGATCATCCTCTGTAGGTTACAGGGTAGCACCACCTTACTGTCTCCCGTAGGGAAGATAGAACGGAGAATATCCCGATCTTCCTTTAACTGTTCCCACTCTCTGTCTAACTGAGACACTGCAATGGCATCTCCCATCAAATCTTTGATCACTTCCTCTGATAAACACTTCTTCATATTCCTGAAAGAAAAGATGATACCACATGGAATGTTATGACAGTAATATATGTATTCTACTTCAAACTCTTACATATGTTCACTTTTTGTAATGTTACAAGCAAAATTTCTTTTGTTGGAATAAATTTAATCTAATCTTTGAAATTTTCTCAAAAACTTCATATGTTCTATCAAATTTGAGCTGTTTTTCACCAACAAACCTTTCATTTGTTGCATCAAATTTGAACTGCCTATCAAAAGCCTTGTTGGAGGGCTTGAGGGTAGGCATAGTCTGGAACTCGACATGACATGCGTCCAGACCATCCTCTCCATAACGAAGCTGGACTAGCTGTTCTACCTGGTTACGTACAGTTCCGTCATATTTTACCATTACACTCTCCATAGCTTTGATCAGTCTTCTTTGAATGTAACCTGAAAAGGCATACTTTTTTTTAATTTGCAAACTTTTTCTATTTCATATTTTATGATCATGTTTAAACAATAGGTTTGTTCCGTATTGAAATGATAAAACTAAACACATTTTTTGTGACTAATTGTATCAAATTGAAATTTTTCTGCCCCATTACCTGTTTCTGCAGTTTTGACAGCAGTATCAATCAACCCTTCACGACCTCCCATGGCGTGGAAGTAGAACTCTGACGGTGTCAGCCCAGCCAGGTATGAGTTCTCTACAAATCCTCTGGACTCGGGACCATAATCATCTTTGATGAAGTGAGGCCAGGTATGAGTTCTAACCTACGGTTGAAAAACATGTTCCTCTCAGAGTTTCCGAAAACTATCGTCCTACCGGCAAAACCATAATCGAAATCCTTGATGAAGTGAGGCAAAGTTCTATGACGGAAACCAAATGGAACTTCCAAAAACGATCGTTTTTTTTCCTTCAACGTTATTGGTAAACACATGCAGTATATAGGTCATGAGGTGCAATACACAGAATTTCTACTGCTATTTATATATGCAAAATAACAACTTTAAATTTTATTGAGAAGTTTTCTTTTTCAAGAATTAACTTTTTTGTAATTAGTTGTTTCTTTCTCACAATATTTACTTGGGGCTAGTGAAACCTGGTGCCAGACATTTTATATTCCTGGTATCACCAGTGTTTGTGAGAAAAACATGTTCTTAATTTTGACAAAATATACGCTCTTCTCACAAGAAATAACTGTACATGTATTTACTTTCCAAACTGTCACTTGGTTTATTTGTTATCAGCTCACAAACCTGTGAAATGTTGATCTTGGATCCTTTGGAACCTGCCACCACCATAGCTTTGAAGTTGTTGTAGTCAGATAGAGATTTCTGGGCTTTGCTTCCTGTTTTATCTCTGGCATCATTCAGAATTCTGTTCACCTTTAAAATGCATTTATTGAAATTAATTTAAATACTTACAGTGTTACTGCTTTACAGGCATGAAAGATGAGTGCCAAGTTTTTTACTTTTTTTTTTCCATTACAGAACTAGATGTTAATATACTTTTCAATTTACCATGTTCTCAAAAGTCTGCCTGAGAGTGTTACCAGGGGTGGGTTCAAGGTCGTCATTGTGAGCCTTCTCAATCACTTCTATCACATCATGCTGCAAATAAAATTCACACAATTCAGCAATGATACATGTATATGCAATTTCTATAGCTGCTCTAAATAATTTTGTTTTTTTCATACATTATCTCTAAGTATCTATAACTAAAATTTATACACAAGCTTTACCTTAGCTTTTTTAATTGTATCCTGGATATCCAAGTAGGTCTGGGGGTCAGCAATGGTGTCCCCAATACCAATACTGTGTCCCTCCAACAACAGCCAATTGTTGACCAATGTCTGAATGTGGCCATACATGAGACCAGCAATCTCCCATCCGTACTCCAGGAAGACAACATGAGCCAGAGCCCCGCTAGATGTTCCCAGAGTCTTCTTACACAGAATACCACTGATCAACATGCCATCCTCAATCAGTACCTACAGAAATATATCAGTTCTAGGAGCTAATTTTCAGTCTAGTACATGTACATATGTAAGTTAAAGTATTTTACATATAAGACAACAAAAAATCCTTTACAATTAATAGATTGTTAAAACCACAAATACACATTCGAAATTAGCCACTCAAAACACTGAATTCATCTTTTCTCCATATCAACACTTTATAAACAAAACATGTAATTAACATTTCAAAGTTTCCCTTACCTTTGTGTCCCCGGGGGAGATCCACTTGTACGGCCCTTTATCCTCCTCGTCCGGGTGAGTACTGTGTGTTCTGATACAGTTGGTACGACCTGGGATAACCAGGGAAAACAGCTGCTTTCCTGTCCAAAGGGGCTTAGGTTTTAGAATGGCTGGTTGAGGAACATGACCATCCCATCGGGGTAAAAACATCAAAAGGTTCATGACTTGACCCTATAAAATAAAATCGTCATGCTTCAAGTACTCAGAATGGCAACCTGAATTTCTATAAAGCATGATTCAAGTTCTTAACTTTGTATGTGTTTTGCTATCAACATTATCGTTCTGACTAAGAAAATATTTTCCAGAAGTCACATCACAGTTTCTTTTTTATCTACAATAATATAATACACACCCTGTCTAAGAAGACATCCCTCTTGGTCATTTTTCTGACGGCAGTCAGTGTGTCCTGTACAATTCCCATGACAGGTCTGTTAGCCTGTGGGGTGATGATCATTCTGGGTACAAGGGCCAGGTTGGAGATTTCTGCCTTCGTTTCCAGTGACTGGGGCAAGTGGAGATTCATTTCATCCCCATCAAAATCAGCATTGTATGGTGTGGTTACACTGAAATAATATTATCTTAACAATAATTCACCAATCATGAACTTCAGATTATGACTAAAATTTTGACAAAGTAAACTTGTTTACGTGTTCATCTATATCAATAATGGGCCTTAATGTTATCCTTTACACCAGTGCTTCCATACCTAAGATTCAGTCTGAAAGTTGACCAAGGTAGAACTTTGACCTTGTGACACATCATACTCATTTTGTGGAGAGTAGGCTGTCTGTTGAACACCACATAGTCATTGTCCTGCATGTGTCTCTCCACCTGTTTACATAAAAATGTTCAGAACTGACGCAACTGCTTTCAAAAATTGAATATTTTAGTTGGCATTTTAAGGGAGGTAATGCTTTGCATGCAATTACTGAACATGTAACCAAAAATTATGACTGACCTTGTACCCAATTTGTAGATGGAGGTCACTTGCTTTGGGGTGAAACCTCAGATCAATTCTTTCACCATTGTCACGAATGATGTACTTGGCACCTGGGTACTGATTGGATCCCCTCCTCACAAGTTCTTGCATTCTGCATTAAAGATGAAACATGTACGAGAGAAATGCAGCATCTTTTCAAGTAGTTATTCTAAGCTTTTTTCTGTGTTTTTTTTTAAATATCACCCTTAATTAGACAGAAGGGAAGATATATTTTATTTTTTTAACTTTTATTAAGGCAATCACAAAGTATCACATAGTGAATTTCTAAGCTTGCGATGCATCAACTTTATTGCACAGACCTGTCAATATTAAAAGGGGTGACCAATTCTGGGAAGGTCATGTTCTGTGCGATGGATCGTGGCACACCCACTTGATCAATTCTAAGATTAGGGTCTGGTGTAATGACAGTTCTGGCTGAGAAATCAACACGCTTTCCCATCAAGTTCCCCCTGACACGACCTTCTTTACCCTTTAACCTCTGTTTGATAGATTTCAGTGGACGGCCAGACTTTTGCACTGCCTGAAAATGATAACATTTCCATCTATGACTATTCCCAATAAATATTCACTTTTTAAAAAGTTTGCATTGAATATATGAGCAAGTATTATGTACTTGTGTTCTGAATATTGGTGTATAGCAATATAAATACAAGTACATGAATATATACACTTTCATTAACAAAGTAGCTGGTGTCTAACCTTTGGCAGACCTGGCAGCTCATTGTCTACCAGAGTCGCGACATGGTACTGTAACATCTTCATGTCCTCTGCAATAATGTGTGATGCAGCTCCATTCTGTTCATTTCGCCGTAGCTGGTTATTTGCTTTAATGATGTCCGCCAATTTGTGTGTCAAGTCATCCTGTCAATCAAAGTTTATACACAGGTGATTATTTTTACATGAAACATTTTCTAAAATGACCTTCGACCTATCAAAATTAACTAGTTCATCCCCCCCCCCCAAATTAATGTTAAGAAAATTGAATTCACTTTTGATGCATTTAAACTATGAACTGTTAATATATACAGTCAAACTTTCATATCTAAAACTTGATGGGATGGAGGAGAAACTTCCAAATTTTGGAGGATTGTAAAAATTTGAGGTTAAAAATGCATAAAGATAATCTGACTTCCAAATCACTGACATTTTTATGTTATTTAAGATATCAGTATTAAAGATTCCTAAGTTATCTGTATACCTGATTTCTGGCTGATCCAAACATTACAACAGCAGGACGGACAGACAAAGGGGGCACTGGCATTACTGTCACAATCATCCAATCAGGACGAGCATATTTAGGATCCATTCCCAATACCTGACACTCTTCATCAGATATTCTCTTGAATATTTCGTGAACTCTGTCAGCTGTTAGTACAATCTTTTTCTCCTGCGAATCCTCATTTGTATCCTTCCACTCAGCTATCAGCTCCAGTCCTGTTCTCTTTATTTTAGGCTGGTATCGACCACATCCACCATGCCCCTACATAAACATTTTGTAAATACATGTAACGTGCTCAAGTGCCAAAAGACCAAAAAGAAATTCTTAGTTACACAAAAACAGAGTCATATTATAGATATCTTAAGAATTGAGGTCTTGTGTTCCAGTGTGTTCAGATCATAGAGTAGGATTTCTAGGGAAACTTACACATGAACAGAAAATGTTTTATATGTATACAGGTGACTCTCGATGGCTCGAACTCCGATCTCTCAAAGTTCTCTATCTCTCGAAGTGAACCTCCAGTCCCGTTTTTTTTCCTCTATATAACTAAGCAAATTTACTCCTGAACATTCTTAAAAACTGGGTCCCGTTACACATATTTCATTGAATTTTACTCTCTATCTCTCGAAGTTTTGTTTGCGCGTGTATACACGCCAATCAAGCGTAAAATTGATGCAGTCTGGACTTACCTGGAAACCGTGAAAGCCATGGGCTGGCATGGAGGTGTTAATTGGGTATTTACATAGATGACACTACACCTGTGGGTCGTCCGTGTTTTGTTATAATTAATTGGCTATTTTTCACAGGGTAAATTTGAAAAAAATCACAATTTATTTTGAATTGAAACCGAGACGATGATTTTTTTTTTAAATTAATTAATGGATGTTCGTTTCAGTAAGTTCCCATAGACTAATTAACTTTCATTATGAATAAATAGAGTCTACATAATCCCAGTATGGGAAATATTACAGAAGAAATTCTTTTCTCAAGGATAGAGTACCGATTAAGAAAAATCTGGCGAACATGCACTTGTGAAGGACCCGATCAAGCCACGGAATAGCCAAACCTACAATTGCTATTCGGGTTTCATATAATCATGCAATAGGAACAAATAAATATTGAATCTTTATGAATTCGTTTTATTTATTCGAAATACAATCATTGTTGTTGATATCAAGTAAATTACCTGTAAAATACGATTGAAAACGTGCAAATGACATTATTTACATATACTTCCGGTAAATGTAAAAGTAGAACTTCGACGATCGGAACTGAAAATTCCGGATTTTATTTACTTTCCATCTCTCGAACCCTTCGATCTCTCGAACTTTTCTCGCGGTCCCTTGAACTTCGAGAGATCGAGAGTCACCTGTATGTACTATTTTTGTGCTCTTTTTCTTCTACAAAGGAAATTTAAGACAGTGTCACACAGTCTAAGGAATTTTGATTTTCTGCAATAAAAACACATTATACCTTCTTTTGTTCTTCCTGTTCATCTCCAAGCTTGGAATCCATTTCATCCCCACCTTCACAGACTTTTCGTGACTTGCACAGATCATACACTGCAACCAGTCGTTTTCGAGGGTAGGCTTTGGACTTTGACAAGATTTCTTTAATTTTTGGGTTTGTCTGTTGAAATGAAGTTGAAAATTACAATTAACTAACAACATAACAGGACACCTTCACATTATTTTTACTGCACAAGTTTTCTTGTCTTATAAAAATTACTAATTATAATGTTGAACATGTAAATATAGATTTGTTACAGAACAATACTAACTGGGTCAACAAGAAGTTTGGAACAGAAGAAACAGACACATCGGAGCACTTTGATGGTTTTTACTAGGAAACCAATGTGGAACACTGGCTTGGCCAACTCAATGTGGCCGAAATGTCCGGGACACTCGGAAATGTTCCCTGCACATGTCTGACACCTAGCCGTCCTGTCAATCGTGCCCTGGCGAGGGTCCATAAGTCCGCCCAGCTTTGGACGCCCCCCTTCTGTGACTTCAGAGTATTTGATGCCGCCATCAGTAACTGACATACGTCTCTGTAATGGCAATTCTCATGATAGAAAACTATAACAATTTTTTTGAATTTTCTTTCAATAATCAAAATATATATGCATCAAAAAGACAATATGGAGTTCGGAATATGGACATCCTTGAAATTAAATCTCAATTTCTTCTTTAAATTACAAATCCTTAAACTTTCAATTTAAATTACCCATTACAGAAATGATCTTGATTAAAATGGGGATTCTGTATGTCCTCCACCAGTTTTTCTTATTCTCATCATTTTGTTTCATAAATATGCGTTATCTTTGGACCTACGTAAATTTAAGTCACCAGAGGCTGATTGCATAACTTTAATACTAGACCTATTTAAACACATACAATTTCATCTGGGCTCAATATCCCAAACTGTACTCTTTTTACATCTCGTAAAGGTGCGTTAGAATCTGCCGTGTAAGCCATTGTTTATAAAACACCACAATGACTTCGCGGTTACTTTCGCCTTCTGTAATGGCGAACCACAGACAGTAACCTCACAGCGAAAACTGTCGGGTATTTATACTTTTTCTATATCTGGGGTTCAGATATAGTAATTCAGGGGAACTACGTCATATTTTGATTTGTCTGGGTTTCTTACACGTTTAATGAAACGGGAACTTTATGACTTTAATTTCAAGCACCTTATAAACCACGAGGCAAGTTTTTCATTTTTTAAATAAAATTATGATTTTATATTTACAAATTTCAACTTTAAAAACCAAAGCAGAAAAAATATTTTAAGACATGTTTTAAAAAGTTTTCAGTGCCTTTATTCGATGCTCCTCGTTTATATCCATTCATAGAAAGGAAATCTCGCGATGAGTACCGAGAGACAAAATCATCCAGGGATCATTTCAAAATTGTGTAAAAACTTTTTAAAATATTGTATTATTTTGCATATTTTCGTGCAAGCATACGTATTTGTTTTTTAAAATTTTATTTGTCATTTATAAAGAAAAACTTACTAAAGACTGAAAATGGAAAACTTGCTTTATTTTCGATTTTCAGTGAAATTATTTTTACGTACAAGCTAACTGCATTTATTGAAAAAGTGGAGACACTGATGATTGTTGATTTGGGCATAAATAGATGAAATAAAACCCTAGATATTTATGTTTAGAACTATTGAATGGTGAAAAAAGGTAACGATACATGTATATTCGATAATATCATTAGGCCTTTTCTTAGCAGGGCAATAAAATAAGTAACAAAGTCAGAATTTTTTGCAACCGTTCATGTCTCTGTTCATTCACATGCTGAAACTAGAAATTTGTCTAAAGAGTGATTATTGTGGTTAGTCTAAGTCAAAAAATATACAATTTAGATAAATCGGAACGTTTTGCAATACACAAATCTCCTTTCTTATGCTTAAATGATATTGATTGTAATGTTTGTCAAGCAGGCTACAAAATAAAGTTATGTGGATTGGGTGGGATTATATTCTCACACTGTTGATTCTAGAGGGCAGACTAGTATTTATTTCTGATGTCTGTATTCACAGGCACTTGTTTTGTATACGGGACTCCCCTACTTATATTTACCACAAGGTACCAAACTCAATTTCAGGCACACCCTAAGATAAAACAAAAGACCTCGAAATGGAATACTAAGAAGTCTCTGGTTTTATTCTATACATCTATAACCCAAACCAGAATTTGATTTATTTCATTCAATGTCTTATTTTGTACCGAGGTAATTTTTGAGGAATAAATGAGTGATTTACAATTGGGAGGGTTGACCAGAGACTTCTGAAACGATTTAATTTACAAGAAAAATGTCTCTCAAAGCGAATGATGTCATTTTAAAGTAGGTTAATGATTGATATATTAACAAAATACAAGGTTGAAATGGGGGTGTCTGAAATTGAGTTAGGTACCTTTTGTTAAGAATTAGCGGGGGTGCCCTGTATATGAAACAAGTGCATGTGTCTGTACTGCAGTAACTAATCTTTATCTAAGATGGTGTCTATTTACTTTGATATAATGATCTAGACTAGATATATGAAGTAGTATTTGTGACAGTATATTTTATGAAGACTTTCGTTGTAGAGAGAGAAGCATGGGACCATGAATGATGATTATGAGTATGTTGTGTTTCCATCCGAAAAATCATGTTGGCCTGATATTCAAGATCTCTTGAAAGAGTTGAAGCTATTGTCAACCGAAGTACCATGTGACTTCTCTCAGTTGGCATTGCATCATCAGAAAATTGTCGACGCCTTCAACGGGGATGAAGAGGAGTCAAGGGAGGCTAATGTTGAAGAGACTGCTTTTCATGGTCTTGTGAAATTCTTTCAGCATGATGCTACAAAGGAAGAGAAAGTCCTATTTCTGCAGTCAACTCTACCAAAGATAGTTGATCTTGCTCTAGACATTGAAAAGTTTGCAACAGACAAAGTCCTGCCAATTAGTAGTCAGCAAAAAGGTATGATAAAATAATTGTTTGTATTTTCTTTGTAGAGTACAATCTTATCAATCTGGATACGAATAATCTTGATGCTTCAGCATTGAACAATAAGGCCAAAATAAAAAAATCTTGATGCTAAAAGTTTTTATCACATTTTCATTTTTTGAACAATAAGACCAACAATATTTTTGCATCACAAGTGTACAGATAACTTTACTTTATAAATACAAATTTTTAAAAAAAATATATGCTAATCGTATAATTCATTGAGTTTTGGAAATAAATTTTTTCTCAAAATAAAATTTTTTCCCTACCTACCTACCCTAATTTTTTTGGTCAGGGGACCAAGAGTACTGGTATAAAATGTACAAAATGATGCTTTTTGGATTTGGAATGCACACTACCAAACTTGCTTTAGATGCTGGATCTGACCTTTATTTTTCAGTTGAGTAAAACAGGTTTAAATTTTTGGAGCAAGTCCATTCCTAAGTAATTATAATTTATAAGCCATTTGAACAAAACTTGCTTTAAGATTCATCCATGTAGTAACTAATGAAATTACAAGATTTGCTTTGAATTCTGGATCTGACCTACTTTTTTTGGATGAATGATGAGGGAAGTTTATAATCAGGTTAATAATATAAACCCTATGCTGACCAAAACTTGATGATGCATCTATGTTCAAGACCATTTCCAAGTTACTACAAAGCCTACCCAGACCAAACTTGATTTGCATTAATATTGCACCTAGGGATACACACCAGAGTATTTGTTTGATGTAAACTTTACCTTACTTATAGATTACATTTGTTGAAGAGCTTTGTAATCTTTGATTACCGTTTTCTTTGCAGCTGGAGATCAGTTGTTGAATCGTCAATTTGTGGCCTCCATTGTTGCTGCAGCATTTCTTTGTTTATTTGATGGACGGGAAAAGACACGCATCTACAATCCAAATCTGAATGCCATAAGTTTTGCCAGTTTTTTCCAGCTATTACCAAGGTAAAAGATTTTTTGAATGAAGCATTAAGGCTTTTTTTTTCTTCAAAATTATGTTAATAAACTTCAAGATTAAAATAGGGAATATTACAATAAATGGACAATGGATATAATATGATAGAATTTACCAAATGTACTAGCCTTTGAGTTGGATTTCAAAAGTTAAGCTTAAATTCTGTGTCTTGTAACATATATAATTGTTAAGATCATTTATGAGAAATAATATACTTTTTCTTTTCAGTCCTTCACAAAATGCAAAACTTCAATGTTTTCTCAATTATTTTGAGAGAGTTGGGGGCGACACAAGCAGTGTACAAGGTGACATAAGGTTTCAACGACAGGTAATAACAGTGTATTTTCTGTTTTTAAGATTTTAAAATTTGACCTACACTTAAATTGATTAAACAGTTCATAATCCAAAACCAATCTTCTGATATAACTCTTGTGTGTATTGACTTAAGGTTATTCCATATGAGGAGTTGCCCACCGTAGACACATGGCTTAACAGTGATTGTGATCTCTGTCCGTTCTCTGTAAAACATGACGGTCACATTGAAGACTCTGTCCCCGAGGCTATTGAGGTAGGGAACAATATAAAGAATAATTTCATATAGGAGTAAAATGCTTTTGAAATCCAGCTAATTAGTCATGCCATTGGGTAAATGTACTGTAGGGTTTATTTGTTTGATATTTATGTGCATCTCTTGTTCATGAGCTTTTGGTAAAATTATTATTAGTTACACAGATAATTTGTGATGTAATTCAAAGTTATCCATGGAAATGGAAATCTCAGATTCCTGGAGGTGAAACAAAAACCCAATATGGAATTCCATTTTACTCCCTAAATGATTGTATATACACTGTATGTTCATGATTTTCTGCTGTATGATTTCATACATGTATTTCAGGTGGACTTTGCCAACAGATACATTGGAGGTGGTGTGTTAGGGAGAGGAAGAGTTCAGGTAAAAATTATTTGTACAATTTATATATATATCCAAAAAAGTTACAAGAAGAGGTCAAAGTTTGAATGACAATTAGTCCAACTTGTGTAAATGTTATATTGCTGACAAAGTTTTTAACATATTTGTTAATAATTGTTAGATTGCTAAGGACATGTGAGAGAGGTAAAAAAGGCAATTGTAATTGCCTGATAGAGCAAATATAGGGTTTTGTTACTTGAATGTAATGGCTAGCAATTTTTCCCCAATGAATTTGAGCACTGATTAGAATTAGCCATTTTGCTAAATGTGTGTGCTATCCGTTTGTGTGTGGACATTTTCTGTCAAATATCTACTGTTCAGTATTAAGTTACACTGTATTTTTACAAGTTCAATTTAAAATGAAATTGTTCCTTTGTGTGTTAATAGGGGAATAAAAATATTGAAGCTGTTGCAGGAAAAAATATATTACCCATAGCTGCAACATGACAATTTTTTCATTTATCAGTTAATAAAAATATAATAATCATTTGTTGCTTTATTATAACCCAGCAGTTTTTACACATACAGGAGGAAATTCGATTCACTGTGTGTCCAGAGCTGATATCTTCCATGCTGTTTATGGAATGTATGGACGACAATGAAGCCATTATAATTCATGGATACGAACAGTTCTCAGATACAGAGGGTTATGGACCAAGCTTAACTTATGCTGGAAATCATCAGAATTGTCCAGAGGTAAAAGATACAGAATAACAGTTTGATAGGAAGTTCTAACAATCAAATTTAAAAAAAATACACAATTTTATTTTTTAGCTCACTAAGGTAAAAGCTTAGATTCAAACCATGGCACCTGGGGATAGGTTGGGGCAGCAATAAAGGGTCAAAGCTTTATGAAGAAATGCAGGATAATCTATAACAAAAAAATACCTTTCCATAAATGGATGGATTGTAAAAAGTCATCATAAAACTTGATCAGCTTCATTTAATATGCATGCAGCTTCATTTAATATGCAATTGTAATATGCAATACTCAATATTTGATCAAAATCATTGTATCAAAGTCCGCCATAATGAAGAAAGTGAAAATGAAACTTTGTTATTAGGTAACTCATACATAAAATATTCTTGAATTAGTAAAAGATTTTTTAGAACGACCTAATCATGTATTTCTGAAAGTGAAAGTTAAACATACAAGTACAAAATTTGTTCTCCTTGTCTATTCCCTAATTTCGAAGTGGGAAAATGAGTCATATAGCATAATTTGGGTGAATTATTGTAATTTAAAGGAAGGTTAGACAATTTTTAGTGATTCTCTGTTATTTGTTTTTTTTCAAAAGATTTCTTGAAGTTAAAATATGACATTCAAAATTTTAGCAAGAATATCAAAATAACCGCCCCCTTTCCGCAATTTTCTAAGCGCCCGGGGCGGTTAATAGGGATTATACGGTATTTGTTTGATAAATTGTATGTTTCCAGCTTATTGATATGTATGTGTCTCTTTACAGTCTGCTGGGGGTAGAAAGTTACAGAACACACTGTGTGTTATAGATGCTGTCAGCTACAGACACTGCTCTCCCTCTAAACAGTACCAGGATCACTTCTATCTGAGGGACCTCAACAAAGCTTTTGTTGGCTTTAGTGCAAAGTGCAGGAAAAGCTCCATGGATACAAGGAACCAATCACAGGAGACGACAGAATACATTTGTAACAAGCCTTGTGATTTGTTAATGGCTATTAGTGAAGAGTATCAGACAGCATCTGAGGATGGAAACAGTGAGCCTGAGAACTATATACCAGGTAAATTAACATACTGTTTTTTTCTGACAAAAACTTGCAAAATTTTTAGCTTACCAGAAAAAAAATGTAAAGTTAATACATGTAGTATACCGGTACTCCAAGCTTGGCATCAACGTCTCAGTTCAAGATTTTAACCCAGATTCATTTCCCAGCAAACTATGTAAGCCATACTACTGCATTAGTAAAAATTAGGAAGACTACAGTGTTCATGATATTGAAGTGAAATGCAGAGTTACATATATCTACACAGAAGAAAAAGTTTATAGGACAGGCATTTATATATGTATCTTTATGAAATTTTCATATGCTTTTGTTAATAAAAATTTATATGTGACATTTTTCTCTGACAGAGTTGCCTGGAATAACCAACATGGTGGATGGACTGGTCACCAGAATTCTGTACTCAGCAATCCAGGAAGCCTGTAGCCAACGCGGATTTGAGAGGTCCGACAGCCACTCCTCATGTGAGGACCACTCCTCCAGTTCCAGTTATCTGAGGAGACAAGAGGAGCTGGAGGAGAATCAGGATCAGGCTGACCTGGAGTGCCAGGATTGGGTGAGCCGGTTTAGGAGGCGGAGTTCTAATTTGAGTGACATTGGATCCAGGCGGAGTAGTGGTAGTACGTGGCAGAGCTCAGATTTCAGCTCAGAACTAGAAGAGTATTATGAAAATTATCAACGAAGGGACCAATCTATCATCCAGAAGACTATCACGGAAGAAGAGGGGTGTCCTGTCATCTGTGATTTTGCTAATAGCTTAGCCGTGTCACTTATACAAGAGAGCACTGCAGTGGCTGCTCATAAAAGTGTTGTCAAAGATTTTAATGACAGTGCCCCCGAAGTCTGTATTATGAAGCCAAAAGCTTACAAACCCGAAATTGAAGAAAACTTACCAAGGACCAATTACTTTTCACCCATTATTCCTGAATCCATTGCTAGAAAATTTGCAAATGAATTTATATCAGAGTTGTTTACCTCTGTATTTTCTACACTTTCCAATTTGACTTCTGAGAAATGTTCTGATAAGAAATCATCACTTCTTGACATTCCACTGGTTCGAGATCCTGATGTTAGTTCTGATTCCGACGAAGACTGTGATATGAATAATTGTGATACATATTTGGGTGGCTATTACCCAGGGAGCATTGTTGAGGACAATTATCCGTTAGTGGATGAAGCTGAGCTACGGATTGCGGCTGTAAATTTAGTGGATTGTGCTATACATAGTGCTGTTCAAATAGTGCAGGAAAGTTTAGTTCCACCAGCACCAAACAAATCTTTAGAAGACAGCGATTTGAATATTTCTAATCCTGTTACAGATTCCTCTAGTGAAAAAGAAGATAACTTGTCTGTACTGAGCAATAGTTTTGGGAAAAGATGGGATCAGTCCTCAAGTCCCTCCAAATCCCCGAAAAATGTGCAGTTTCATGACACTGTGATTTTGAATAAAAATGGTGATGCGGTCTCCAAGACGATGTCCGATTCCTCAAATAGTCAAGATTCCTTTACTGTCCCCACTCTTTTGGTGACTGATGATCTCTCAAAAAGTGATAAATTCGGTGGTGCTTATAGTCAGATTGCAGAAAACATTATCATGTCTGGATTTACCGATGCTCTGAAAGATGTACAGAAGGAAACTGGGAAATCTTTTGAGGGCTCAACACTCAAATTTAGTGCTTCTGGATATCTACCAGAGAAGACCCTCATTGTAAAAGGAAACAGTTTGATCCACCCCGGAGAGATTTTACGTGGAGAATCTTATGAAGATATTTCAGGCTCTAATATCATTGAGTGCTGTGCTTCTTCACTATCCAGAGACTTACTAACTAATGCATTTATTGAAGTGCAGCAAAGTTCAGGCACCATCAATGGCTCTAGTTTTGCCCGTCGGAGCAGTGAACCAATGAAATTGTCCAGCCAAGCAGCCAGACAGTTACTGGAAGACAACAAGAAAGGAGTTCGTCGCTACACAGAGAAATCGAAAAGCTGTACAGAGGACGACCTTGTGGAATATGCCAGAGAGTTGGATAGAAGATGGATCATTGAAGATTTCCGGGAAAGGAGGGGACCATGTGGATTCAAGGATCCCACCCTTTCCAGGTAATCAATCAAACTCCTTGATAATGATTTTTTTATTATTTTAAATCACAGTTAAATTGTACCTGAAAAAATTAAAAGCTTTAAGGTCTGGTACTATTCATGGCTGATTACAGGAACTCAGATAAAACTAGCTTGTAAAAAGAACATGTATGTTTTAGGTTTGCTGAGGAATTGATGAAAACTGAATGTAGAATCCCCCCTCTCCATATACCAATATCGTCCACTTCTGTCTGCAGCCTAAGTGGATCAACCACATCTTTCCACAGTAGTAAAAGTGGATTTAAGGACCTTATGTTATCTAGCTTCGAAGAGGAACTCCTGTCTTCAAGTTTTGGCAGATCCTCAACAAAAAGTTCCAGCATTAAGAGGAAAAGGAAGAAAAGCACAGGAAACAGAATAAGAGGTGGTGATTTCAGGCAAGCACTTCACTTTTCAGAATTATCCAAGGAGACCATCTCGGATTTTGCAGACAGACTTGCTCAAGGTATTATTTTAGAATCTATAGAGACTGTATTAAGAGGTTCTATTGGTTCAGGATTTGCTCAAAGAGATGTGCCATTCACAACTTCTTCCCCAATTCCTGATAGTCTGCTAAATCTGGCCGATAGCATTTCTAGTCAAGTGGTGGAGGATGCTATTTTAACAGCCGTTGAGGAATTAAAGGTGAAGTTACAAACAGAGAATTCCTCTGATACTGATTCCACATCAACTGAAGAGTTCAGTGATGCTCTTGATGTGCCATGCTATAGAATTGAAGAATTTGCAGATATTCTTGCAAAGCAGGTATTGGATACATCAGTGAAATTCATCATCAGAGAAATGGAGTGTTTTAAAAAGGTAACATTGATATTTTACTGGTACAATTAACTTTGTAATAAGACTAACAATTATTTATTTAATTCGGATATTACTACTGTAGAAGGCTATCTAAATTTAATTCTCTGGTTCTCAGGCCAATTTTCTCCAAAACAGATGTGGGCAGGAGGCATTTTATTTATCATTTTATTGGCAATAAAGTAGATGAGGGAGGTACTTTTTAGCTCACCTTAATGAAGTTACATTTCTTGGTCCCGGGTTAATAAGTTTTTTGGAGCAGAATATTGTCCTATATTGAATAGACATGCATGGAAGACTAATGTGTTTATTGTACCAGTCAAAGTTTCAGATGCTGCAATTTCAGCAAAGGAATGACCAGGTTAATGTTTTTGGAGCAGGTTAACATTTTTGGTGCAGTTTTTGGTGTAGGTCTCATTTCTAAGGAACTATAAGCCCTATGTTGACCAAACTTGCATGGATGGTACTTCTAAGGATGTACACTACCAGACTTGCTTCGGATGCTGAATCTGACCTACATTTTCCGGTTGAGTGAACAGGTTAATGTTTTTGGTGCAGATCTCATTTTCAAGTAACTATAAGCCCTATGTTGACCAAACTTGCACGGATGATACATCTAAGGATGCACATTACGAGGCTTGCTTCAGATGCTGAATCTGAGCTACATTTTCCGGTTGAGTGAACAGGTTAAAGTTTTTGGTGAATGGTTCATTTCCAAGATACAATGAGCCCTATAATGATTAAACTTGCATGGATGGTACATCTTAGGATGCATCTACCAGACTTGCCTCGGATATATACATTTTCTGGATGAGTGAACAGGTTTAAGTTTTGGGGGCAGGTTTCATTTCCATGTTACAATGAGCCCTATAAAGACTAAACTTGCATGGATGATATATCTTAGGATGTATCCTACCAGACTTGCTTCGGATGCAGAATCTGACCTACAGAGTAAACAGGTTAATGTTTTAGGTTTCATTTCCAAGTAACTATAAGCCCTATGTTGACCAAACTTGCACGGATGATACATCTAAGGATGCACATTACGAGGCTTGCTTCGGATGCTGAATCTGAGCTACATTTTCCGGTTGAGTGAACAGGTTAAAGGTTTTGGTGCAGGGTTCATTTCTAAGATACAACTGGCCTATAATGACCAAACTTGCATGGATGGTACATCTTAGGATCCATACTACCAGATTTGCCTCAGATGCTGAATCTGACGTACGTTGTACATTTTCTGGATTAGTGAACAGGTTAAAGTTATTGGGACAGGTTTCATTTCCAAGTTACAATGAGCCCTACAATGACTAAACTTGATGGATGATACATCTTAGGATGCATACTACCAGACTTGTTTCGGATGCTGAATCTGACCTACATTTTCTGGATGAGTGAACAGGTTAAAGTTTTTGATGCAGGATTCATTTCCAAGTAACTATGAGCTCTTTAATGACCAAACTTGCATTGATGATACATCTAAGGTTGCATTCTACCAGGCTGGCTTCAGATGCTGAATCTGACCTACATTTTTTTCTGGATGAGTGAAGAAGTTAAATTTTTATGCAGGTTTCATTTCTAAGTAACTATTAGCCCTATGTTGTGCAAACTCGCATGGATGATACATCGATGCATACTAATAGACTTGCTCCAGATGCTGAATTTGACATACATTTTCCAGATAATAGACCAGGAAAGTTATGGGTGCAGGTCTATTACCAAGAAACTATAAGGCTTAAATAAACCAAACTTGCCCAAATGATGCATCAAGGGATGAAAACTCTTAAACTTGCTTCAGATGCTGGATTTTGATCATATTTTTGTGATGAAGAACTAGTTTGAAGTTTTTATATAGGTCTATTCCAAAGTATCAGATCAAAATTGCATAAATTTTGCATTTTTGGATGTACACTTTTTGTTGGGTAATTGTGTGACTTTGCCTTACTTTAAGACAACATTCGTTGAGGTGAGCTCTGTAATCTCTGATTACCTATGTTTTAATTTTGATTTTCGAATTTTCTTTATTTTAAAATAAAGATAATTTTTTTTATTCACAGATATACTTTCCATGTCTGATCAAAAGGTTTGCTTTATTCATTGCTTATCAGCGTGTTAACATCGTAGGCAATGTCTTCGATTGTATTTTCAAATGAAGTAGCCAAAATCTCTTTGCAAAAGGCTACCAGAAGTGATAGTTGAAGTTGAATACTAAACTAGGAAAAATGAGGACTGAACTTTTTTTTACGGGATTGGTCTCCACAATACCAACTTTTTATTTTATCAAAAATACAATAAAATTAGCAATGCGGCTACCTCAAAATGGATGCGCGCGGGCCTGAGAACCAGAATTTTAATTTTATATAGCCTAACGTACATTTGTTGGTGAATATGAATATTGCAAATACATGTATTTGTCTTTAGGTCACCCTGGTTATTAACGTCCAGTTGCTGTCTGTTTTCTTTTGTTTTAGTGTTTTTTCCATCTAGTGTGGATCATTAAATTTTGAACATTTTCATCTTCTTCTCAAGAAGGCCAGGGTTGAAAGAAAGTCATCTTCTCTCCCCTATGTACCCTATTAAGCAGATAAACTAAGTGCATTTTCATGATGAGCAAGGTGGCTTTTGCCAAAATTATGAAATTCCTGACCCTTAGATGTGAGGTGTTTGGGTGTTGAATGGAGCTTGTTTGATCATACTGGTAGTAAATAAAAAATACATCAGTTCCTTGAAAAGCGCTGCTCCTTGGTGTAAATTGAGCAGATAAATTGTGAACATGGTTACGTTAAGCATGGGAGTCTCTAGTCCACCTAAATTGTGAAGTTCATGGCCTTAGTTCAGAGGTTTGATGTATGAAGGTTGTGGCTCAGTGATCATTATATTGAAAATCCATTAATTAATAATCTCTACGCCTGGGAATTTGGATGTTTATAATGAGAGTGGACTAAAACCTTAATTGAGAATATTTCAATTGTGCTAAAAGTGAAAATAACCATATCTGCTCCTGTGCATCTGACAGGCTAATTAAGTACATGTATATAGTTCTAATCAGCAAAAGTGTTAAAACTGAAATCACTATCCAGTGAAATAGAGTTTAGGGTATTGATCTATCATGTAGCAAAATGGTTTACTCTACTTTGAAAGAAGTTATTCTCCTTTGCTTATTCAACTATGATGAATATTCACATACATTATGAAACTAAAAGGTCTTTGGCATAGAAGAAAAAAATATGCAAGTATTTTAAATGGATTGTATAGAAAGTTATTTTTTTAGTTTAAAATACTGTAAACCAACTTTTATTTGGGTGCGAGAAATATCTGCGAGTTCGCAACCTACATTAAAGCGTGAATATTAATCGCCATGAAGAATTTATTTTTCTGAATATTTTTGGAGAATGTTTCCTTAATGGTGAAAATTAATTGTCATGGATTGATTTCATACTGATGTTTCATGAATAAAAGATGACGCAAATAATAGTTGGTTTACAGTGGTCAGACATAGGGTTGGACACCGGCCAGTACCACATCAATTAGTTGTATAGAATAGCCAGTAAAAATACTATACAGTTTCACATACTACTGATACTAATAAAGGTATCCAACCTTGTTCAGACCCTGTAAATTGTAAATGATAAGTTAATGCCTTTCATATACATGATATAGTACATTGTACTATAAATGTTATGTAAAGACCAAGAGAGACCAATGGGAGCACTGTTTTGTTGATAAGAAGTGAGAGTGTGATTAACACATACACAGAGGCACATAAATAGAGTTATTTTTCATAGTTGTAGACTCTAACTATTCTGTTTATTCTTGTCCTATTCTCTTGTTTAGACAAACAAATTTTCCTCAGTCTGTAAATTATAGATCCTTTATTATGCCCCCTCTTCGAAGAAGGGAGGGCATATTGCTTTGGTGCTGTCTGTCGATCAGTCTGTCGGTCCACTTAGTTTACGGCCATTTCTTCACAACCGTTGCACATACTCTAATGAAATTTGAAAATTTGCACCTTCCTTTCATTTTCTTCGCAGAGGTTGCACATACTGAAATGAAACTTAGTATACAGATTTATCAGATAGATATCTAGGTCAAGTTTTGCTTGGGTATGATCGTGCCATTTTTGACAGAGTTATGCCCTTTGGACTCAAAAAAATTCTAATTATTTGCAGTTTCTGTTCCTTTTCTTTGCAGAGATTGCACATACTGAAATGAAATTTAGTATACAGATTTATCAGATGACTATCTAGGTCAAGTTCTGTCTTGGGTATGATCGTGCCATTTTTGACAGAGTTATGCCACTTGGACTCAAAAAAATTCTAATTATTTGCAGTTTCTGTTCCTTTTCCTTGCAGAGGTTGCACATACTGAAATGAAATTTAGTATACAGATTTATCAGATGACTATCTAAGTCAAGTTCTGTTTTGGGTACGATCGTGCCATTTTTGATAGAGTTAAGCTCTTTTGCACTGAGAAAATTTCCAATTTTGGGGGAGGGGTGCATAAGTGTTTTACAAACATCTCTTGTAATAGTGATGTATTATACTCAGATGACTAGCACAGCCATTGAACTTTTTATGAAAGAAATTATATTATTTATCCAGTCCCAAAAGAGTTTTTACATGCAGAGAATATGGCCTGAAAATGAGAAATCAAATTGTTTTCTAATGCCTGTATGTTGATTGCAGAAAGCCAGTGGTCGTCCAGTAGCCACTGGGAACTGGGGCTGTGGGGCCTTCCGAGGGGACGTCCATTTGAAGTGCATGTTACAGTGGATGGCAGCCTCCTATGCTGGTGTCCCCCAACTTATATACTACACATTTCATCACGAAGATTTACAGCAGGTAAAAAGGAAATACAAGAGCTTTAACTTAAGTACATCAGGAACTTTATATTAATGTTATAATTTAAATGGCATAATCTTTAAGAGTTTTTTTTTTTATCACCTGTTCATAATATCTAGGTTGGAAAATGACATTTAGCGTACTTGTAAATTCAAATGCCAATTGTTATACGATGTATATGTAAAATTATTTACTGCGGTGTATATGTAAAATTATTTACTACAGTGTATATGTAAAATTATTTACTACGGTGTGTATGTAAAATTATAAGTTGTCTGTTGACAGTTAGAGGAAGTTGTTGCAGCAGTTTTGTCCAGGAACTGGTGTGTGGGCCAATTAATGCAGGCAGTGAGGACCTACTGTATGGCCTGCAAGGACTGCCCTCGTAAAGATCGCCCTGATCTGTTCCAGCTATTGCTAAACAAGGACTCCTTTAAAGACATTGTTTGAGACAGACCAAATACTTGGAAAATTTATGTCCATTTCAGATATGAGTCAGTGATTTTTCTTTTTCATTTTGTTTTGGGGTTTTCTTTGTTTACATTTTTCTCTACATGTAGTTTACAATGAACAAGTCTTTAAAAAATGTATTAGCATTTCATTTTATGTATGCTGCAAGAAATTTACAAGCAATTGTTGATCAATAAATATTTGCACCTGTGTTATTTGTTGTTGTTCTTTTAACAGAAGCTCTCAAAATACAAGTCAGAGGTTGAGAAATTGTTGATTTCTGGCACAGTTCAGTGAGAAAAGCTAAATTTTTTGAATAATCTCAGATTTGAGAATACATTAGCATTGGTGGCCCTGAAGCATGATCCAGATTTCTTTAACTAAATATTGCTTTAAAATACCAAAGTGAGGCCTTGGTGACCTACTTATAGGTTTCCACACAAATGTATTAATCCTCGGAGGTTTGATGCTCTTACATGCAAGCTTCACAATGTGAAAGGTGTGATTTGGACACGGTTGGCCTATGTCAAGCAATCTGATGAGAAATTGGGGTCATCTTGACCTATATATGAGTTTCTCCACTGCACCACCACTGATGATCCACCATCTTGCCAAGATGATGTTTCTAGAATTCACAATGTTGAAGAAATGAACCAAACAAAAAAATATAAAGAATCAGAACTGCTTTACCATAAAACTGTCCATCAAAAGGCGTCGTATAAAAATATATCATTCTGAAGGTCAAGGACATCTTGATTTTGTCAGTTTTGTTATGAATACACACGACTGTCATATGCACATAGTTTGCATAACACAGACAAAAATATATTTATGCTGCCCACTTATCTGATTTGTACTCTTTCAGGATATCCGATCCTCAGCCAGGATATAACTTTAATTCAAAAAGTCTCGGAATGAAGCTTGAAATTGATATCTTTTCATGCAACAATTTTCATTTTACGCGTCTAAACGTTCTTTGAAGTTCTTAGAAACAGTTTTATAAAATGATGTTTGTACCCCATAAAAGTATTCAATAGCTTTAGATACTGAACATAATATGAAATTAGAAATAATTTATTGTGTTTTGCAATGATCTGAAACGCTTTATACATTATGCATTAAAAATTACTGAAGTAAATACAATAAACTAAAGTACCCTACAGGTATTAAAATCAAACGATTTTCTTCAAACTACCGCATTGTGTTTTTATCCACATTCCATGAAAATTTACTGGAATTTCTAATTTTTATAAATCAAATTAGTAATCTTCCAATAAATTTTTGAATTTTGGAAACTTTGAAGAGGACACCCCCCTGGAAATTCCAGAGATGGGTTCAGATGGGTAAGAGGAGTAAGCATCCCCTGGTGTAATGAAAATTTTAATATTAATTGAATGAGCACTGAGACGCACGGGCCTGTTGTTCCACATTCTCTTCCTACAAAGCAATCTTGGTTTTATTACTCGTTTTTTTATCCTGATCTGACGATGAATGATGAAGGCATTGACTGTTAGGTCCTATTTGTTGCCGTTACGAAGGAATCACATAACGATATTATCTTTCTCGTCCATGTTGACGTCCGTTTAATAGTCATAACCATCTAGCTTGGCCGATTTTAGGTGTCACATCATATATAAAACTCTACAAATAGATGCATATTTTGATGACATGATAAAAATGGTAGTATTACAAAAACTGTAGATCCAGGGTTTGATTCTGTTTGGACGTGAATGTGAAATATATGCAGATATAAATTAGCTGTAGAAAAAATCGTAACAAATAACTCTGCAAGCATAAATTTTCTTTTTCTGCAATCGCTTTCTATCTGCATTGTTTGCAGGTGCATGAAGGAACCATTTTGTCCAATATTCCATTTAGAATGTATGATTTTAATTCAGAGGGGAACAGGTTATTTGCGTAAAAATTGTATTACAAGGGAAACAAGCAAATTCAAAGAATTGTGATCCCCCGCTTTAGGTGTCATAGTCGGTGAGATGCCATTTTTATGACATACTGTGTCAAATATGAACCTCCTTTCATATGCATTCAAAAGTATTCACCAACGTTAAAATATTTGAAAATTAGGTCAAACATGAAAGTCAAGATCAAGGGTGTCAAAATCACAGCATGCTCGGAGATACATGTATCTTGTAACATATACATGTATTGCACAAATCAAATGTGAAAGACCTATCTCTTTCTAATTAAACGTTACATGTATAAGGAAAACTAACATTTTGAAAAGTAGATCACAGTCAAGGTCAGAGCGTCAAAACTCATAGTATACTTAGAAAGGTCTTTTCACAATGTACATGTGTAATTTGAAAGTTCTGTCTTTTCTTTTTCAAAAGTTATGACCAAATTCAAGTAGTATTAAAGAAGATGGGGGATAAGGCAGGCGAAGTGCCTATAGTGCGACAGATAAGAAGTGAAAATTTTAATTTCAATTAAATCCAAATTTTATTTGATATCTCATCTAATATTAAAGTACTCTTTATGTAAAATCTCTACAATTTACAAAAATCTCACAATAACAGAAAATATTTGCCTATGAAAAAGCTTACACACACTACAAAGAACAAAAACGATCATTTTCTCGTACTTTAACAAAATTTTTCAATATGAGTGGGTCTTTGCTCCATTTTTTTGAAAGATGATCCTAAAAGTTTGCTATAAAACACATTTTTTGGTTTACAAAAACATGGAGCAAAGACACGGTATACCATAAAAGTACACTTTTATGACACAACACTCGCATCTTTCTGAGAAATACTTCAAGTCCATTAAGTCGCGGGTCATATCACAAACATGAGTTAAATGCCCAAAATTCACCATGAGTGATGTAGCATAATGGTTAACGCATTAGTCTCTAAGCAGTATGCTACATGTATTAATGTGTCGGATTTTTATTGCTTAGGGTTCGAATCCCAAGAATACCATCTATTAATTTTATGAAAGATAATTTTTATTATGAGATTTTTTTTCTCTCAGAAAAGATTTTTTTCTCATAACTTCAAAAATTTCAATAATGAGAAGTTAATTGAAATACTCAATTCACATATTGAATATGATTTCTTGATATCGGACGCTATAGGCATTCTGCCCGCCTTGTTCCCCCATCTTTTTTTTTTTAAGTATGTCAAACTTCAAGGTCACGGGGTAAAAAAATCATAGCGTATTTGGAAAGGTCTTCTCATAGGTAATGTACATGTAAAACAGAAAGTCGTGTCTCTTCTCATGAAAAATTACAATCACACCAACAATCAACCTATTATGTTCTATGATATTATATTCAAATTCAAAAATGAAAATTCTCAAAGCCGAAATGTGACATTTACTTCTGCTATGAATTTACACTTAATCAAGAGGCCCTTGGGCCACATCGCTCACATGAGCACGCTGGCTAGGAAAAAGCTAAAATCAGTTCAGTATTGAAAAATTAACGGGGGTCGGGGTGGGGTGGGGATGAATTTACCTGAGGATGCTTTCATATTCAATTTTACGATAATGGCTTAGTTGTTCTTGAGAAGGAATTTTAAAAAAAAAAATTCAAGAATGCTTTGTGGCAAGTTTGGCATCCTCGCAAGCCAGGGGCCCCGAGTCAACATTGCCCCTGGCATATTTCATTCAATATCCGTGGGCTGACTGTAGTGACATCTTTCGGAAAAATTGCAAAACTTGGTTGTTTTTATTATCTCTCAACCAATCACATAAAGCCATTCTATATGATGAACAACTTGTAACACATGCATTTGAGGTGTCAGCTGAATCTTTATTTAACTATTTTTGAAAGCTTTAATTTGATTGGTCCTTCTCAATTATTATTCTCGAGAGGGACGTTAAACAATATACAATCAATCAATCAATCAATGAGAGAAGCAACGAAGCCCACAGATCATATTGAATGAAATATGCCAGGGGTCTAACGGCAACGTGTTGACTCAGGACCCCTGGCTTGCGAGGATGCAAGTTGGTTGATATTGGCCAAATGGTTCTGGAGAAACAGTCATACATGTAAATGTGAAAAGTTGACAGAGAGATGGGCAAACGGACTACGAACAGAATATGATCAGATGTTATTTTTTTAATGTATGCTTCTTAGAATCTCCATGAAAATTTTATTGAAAGGTAAATATGTTTTTGAATGATTTTATATTTGATTATGTTATTCACATTAATTGTAATTAACAATTGAAACATAGAGGCGCAAAAAATGTCCTTTTGTACTCAAACCTTTAATTTATGGCTTTTAAAATTTGTTAATTTTAAGAAAGATAAAAAAATTACATGATTATCAAGCTCAACTGTGTATAAATCTTGTAAATTTGAAAATTAAATACATGTACGGTTGGTCTTTTTAAAAGTAAAAATTTTATTTTACAAACATTTTCTTAAAAGTTAGTGGGTTTTTTGAAGTTATAATAAGGAAAAAAATCAAACCTTATAGGATATGTAATGGTCAGATTTATGTTTACCGTATTTCTGCATATATGCTGAAAAGATACATCCACTGAATTTTCTTTTTTGGATTTTTTTGCTTTAAAAAATGATTTTTAATTCGGTTATTCTCGAGTTGAAGAGAATTATCGATAAACAGTATATCGATGAGATATATCCATATATATAAATATCGTCCCACCTGTTTTTTCATATATTTTCGAAAGAGCGCACATTTCAATTTTATGAAACATTGTCCTTTTGTACTCCCTTTAATTTATTTCTAATTTGTTAATTTTAAGCATAAAATTACATGATTATCAAAAAAAATCTTGTAAATTAAATCAAGCATATTTAGAGAATCTGTGTCCTCTGCTGAAGGAAGAAGGAACATGAGGGTGAAGAGGGGGCCTAAAAGGACGGGATGGACATTTTAAGAAGAGTGGGCGGGGCCATAGGGAGTTATGGTTTAAAATTTCATTTTAAAAGGTTCTTCAAATATCGACCGGAAATAAAAGTTTTACACACAGACAGAATATATGAATTTACTACCATTGACCTTTTGACCTCAAAATAAATAGGGTCCTTCCTTTATAGACCACAAGGATCGAGGCACAAAATGACCCCCGGTCATTATTCGACGTCGAAAAATGACCCTTTTGCCCGTAGAAAAAGTGTCACCACCTAAAAAATTTGCAGAACCTACGTGAGAGAAAAATGATAAAAATGACTCCCTGTGGATTAAAGCTGAAATTTTTAGGGTGACAAAAAAAA